TGTGTTTGAGTTTCAGTGTGCTGGAACCCAGGGAAACTATCTGCAATAAAACACTGACTGTGGAAAATCAACAAATTTCTTTGCTAATTTGTGGTGAAGATTTGTGGACTCATCTCCAGCTCTCTTGACTCTGATGTTCCTAAATGAAATCTGGTGCAGCAAATAGCCTTCAGAGGTTAGAAAAGACAGTCTATATGTGTACACTTTCTCCTTAGCATAAATACAGCTGTCCTGTCAAGACCGAAGAGAACATTATTGAATAAACATCATAAAGGCCAAGAAGCTCAGCAGACAGGCCAGGGGTGAAGTTGGGGAGCTGTTTAAAGCGGGGTAAGTTTAGAAAGCAATAACTTAAGCTTCCATCATGTCACAAAGCACTTCCATGTCTTAAACTTGAAATCAGAACCAGAATGGCACAGCTGCCACCGAGACATGGCTGTCAAGAAGACATGCAAAGCTGATAGAGACGTATCTCCAAAGACTGGCAGCTGTGACCTCAGATGTGGTTTAGAGAAATTCAGAAAAACTAAGTTGAAACTGCCACAGCTTTCTAGAGTGAAAACATTGTTTTACCCTGAGATGAAAATATCTAGAAAATCAAAAGCTCTGGTTTTACATGAGTTTTGATGCAAATTAATTTATGAATTTGTGAAAACATTGCTTGTGTTTAAAGACGTGTAAGTTTGAGGAGCAGAAAAGTTTGCCTTCACGTGTCTTTTTTCCATCAAGTTACTTCTTAATGTTATTAAAATGACATGTGTATGACAGCAACATCAGGTTGTCATACTCAGTACTAGACGCTATTCTGGAATCCAGTAGATATTTTGTTTTTCAAGTTGATAGATACAATGAGACGAGTGAAAAGCCGAGAATCTGCTGGAAACTTCAATTCCTTATTCAAATAACAAAGAGCTAAAGCAATTTAGCAGAAATTTTAACCCAAGTTCGTTGAAGGAGATGAAGGTTTTCATTTGTTGTTGACAGAGGTTCAAACACACAGCATGACTCACCAGATTTGCTTTTATACATCCACACTGCTTTAAGGACCCTACAATGTGACTCATAGCCAAAATTAACCATACAAACAAACACAATGCATAAGATTTTCAATGAATTAATGTCCTGTGGGAGAAGAAAGCTCAACCTACTAAGTGAACAAATATGAATCTACCTGCTTTCCTGGATAAACGTCTGTGTTTCATAATCTACTTGGAAAATCATTTCAGACATTGAAACTCCCACATGAGAGTCAGCAGGACATCCTATTTGTTCTGGGTGTGGAGTCTGCAAGGGTAATTAATTTCTCTGCTGTGTCCAACACATGAATTAGCTGTCTACTAGAAGGATGTTCTGCCTCCAGCAGCACAAAGAGTTTTTATGGGAAGCTTCACTTTCAAAACAGGACTGCTGGCGACTGCTGAGTGTGCAAAGTGTGCAAAATATCTCCAGCACAACAAGTGAGAGCTTTGGTCATTGTGTTACTTTCAGGTTTTTTCAGTATTTCACGTTGCATATACAGCTTTTATACTTTGAATCTGATACAGAAAAACAAGCCACATTGTACATCTGTAGCAAACACCAAATAATCTGCTTCTTTTCACTCTATAATTTCCTCTGTGGGTGGCTTCTTAAAGTCAGCCAGAGGAACACTCTGTTAGGACATACATAAGGTAGTTAAGATGTAAACTTAGCAAACTGTGTTCCATAGTTTCTGTTGAAAAGTGGCTGGGAAATAACAGATGTTTGCATGTTTGACTCAGAGCTTTTTATTCTTAACTTTACACATGCAGATTTTTGGATGAAGAAGACAAATATTTGGTATAATTATTATTATTGGCAGATCTGCTTGTGATGAAAATAAATACACAGTAACTATCAGGTCTTCAGCTTTTCTGCTGGTAACACGTATGACTCATCTCCTTGTGGCTGAAAGTCCGACTTGCTCTAACTTCCTTTCAGTCGGAGTGACGGCTTGCTCTATAGGTTGTAGCCATTTACTTTGTACCAGCAGTGTCTCTAATTCTACCAGGAATATGGGTGAGAAAGGATGTGATGTAGCACTGAAACTATATTTAAGTGGTCTTTTGCGATATTTAACAGAATAGTGTGCACCTTATTAAATAACGAAGCCATTTACTTTCACGGTAAAACAGTTGACGACCATGACGGAAAAAGTCGAATCTGCTACTTGTTCTAATATGATTTTTTTATTATTATTATTATTTGATTTTTACTTTTCTAAGAGTCTGGGGAATTCTGGAGTTATTCCAAATGTAAAAAATTGTGTATTACATCCACACAAATATTATAGAAACTAATAAGATGAAAAAGGACAGACAGAACAATACTAAAACAGAATTTATTGAGAACATGTAGCTCAGCCCTCAGAAAAACAAAGCAGGAGTGTACATACTAGTTTAATGTTTAAACATAGTACATAATTGACAACAATGTATATCAGTGCAGGATAGAAACAGATTTTAACCCTGAATCTAAAACCATAGTCGCAATCTAATCCAGAGCTCTTCACTGCCATCTAGTGGAAGTGAAGAAATGTGTCTTTTCAAAATGTACAAAAGTAAGTGGGTTAACAATATGTCACTGTCTTTGTAGCTGCAGCTGTGTTACAGTTTTTGGTCGATCTATGTTATGTCACACTTGAATTTATTTAGATTTTGACATAGCTACAACAATTTGCTGAGCTCTACAAAGAAAATCTAGTTCTCCTGTGTGTTTTTACATTTTTACTTATCTCCCGCTTCATAACGGATGTAAACGTCTTTATCGCCAATGAGAATCAGATTTCACTCATGTGGGTGTTCTTGCATAATCTGCAATCAGATAAACTACCCACATTTATCCAAATGTGTGGTACTGCTAGATAACACTCATTTCTTCACACAGACAGTTCAACATATGTAGAGTTAGTTAAGTACATCACTCTCTTCCTGTCTTTTACTTGCTGAGTGGTCTCTTGGGTTTAAACTGGCATTAATCCCTCTGGAGTCAACCAGTAGGATCTTCAAACAGCCTCCACATAACTTGCAGGCATAAAAATACAGCATCTACACTTTTTTTAATCTGAAAGTCAGGTTGAAATAAAAGAAACTTTCTGTTTCTTTGTTTCATATATTTTCATATTCAGTAGGTGGCAGGTCAGTCGGGAACTAAAAAAGCTGCTACAATGTCTGCAGTACCTGACTGATGGCCAGCGTCACATTTGTTCCTGGGTCATGCATAACCTATTGCTGCTGGTGGAGTTTGAACTTGCATTTACTCCAAACAGTTTTCTATTATTATTATTTATTTTATTAGATTTTTTTTTTGATGGTGGATTTCAGAAGTTTTTTGAACACCTGAGATGGTTTGTTTACCACAGAACACTTGTTATATTTGAAGATGCAAACAGATTCAATATCCCTGCAAGCTTTAAGGGTTTTGGGATAATCTCTTAGTACATACATTGTGTACTAATATGTATTGTATATTGAATTCAGAACAGGCAACAAAAAAAGACATAGATGTACAATGCTCTTAGAAAAGATTAGTTTTATATTAATGGACATTTTTAACAACTGTGTATTATATCGATTTTGTCCAGGGTTTAAGACATTTACATTTTACTCTGAAACAGATCCCTGTCAAACTTTGCTGGACTATAAATTTTCCAAGATGTTATGATGTTATTGTGATTAACAATAATATTGTTTTCTTGAGACCATTTTCTAGTAATATGATGGTAATGGTAGAATTATCAATACATTTTAAAATCCTATCAACATTTACCAAATGAAATAAATTATGAAGTCTCTATAAACAAAACTGTCCTTCAACAAAAGGGTTAGTTGAGACCAGTTTACCAGACTGAAGCCTTTTGTCATACAAATTTTGACAGAAAGAGAGAGGAAAAAAAATAATAAATCATGCAAATGGAAATTATTGAGTTCATTTTGATTTATCACGCAATAACTCAAAATGTACTCACACTTTGACTGGATAGGCCACTCGTACTCACTACGACTGGCCTATCCAGACAGAGTGGTAAATACATCTTGCTCAAGTTGCCTAATTTTCATCCATGCTTAATCTTCTGGAAATAATTACGCTTTTAATGAGAAATGAGTGCCACAGTTTTTACAATGGCATAAAACTGACTGACACAGAATAAAGATTTTAAAAGATCAAATGACATCCTAAACCCTCCTAAAACAGACAAAATGTGTTTTTCTTTCTACTTCTCTGTTGACCCTTGATCTCATATAGGGTGGGGCTGTTGTAATTGATGGGGATGAGTTTACTCCCCATCCCCTGGGGACAAAGCTACTCTGCTCACTCCTCTGATGTGTTTCAGTGGTGCTCTTTCGGCCACCAGACTCTAATGGCTTCCTTTAAATTTTAAAGGGACACATGCTTTGCAATATGACACTCTCATTCTCCCACGTTTTCTTATTTTGTCTCGACGTAACAGAATCAAGAGGAAATTATGACAAAGTGAAGAGAACTCAGAGCGATCTGCTCTCATTTTAACTAAATTATATCTTATATAAGATTTTAAAAATTGCATACACTTTAATGTTCATCTTCAAGCTCTTCTTTCTTGTGTTTGCAATAGATTTATTCAATAGATTGTATGCCCAAGCCTAAATATGAGCTTAAAAATAGTCATAATTCTTTCATTTTTTTTCTTTTTTTTGTGGTTCTCTGAAGGCTTACTACAAAATCAGACACCTCAACCCAAAAACATTTTTTGCAGAATGATGAGAAGACAAAATTTTAAATAATACTATTATAGAACTATTATATTATGTTTTAAATGTTTGGGTTTTTTTAAATGATGGCAACATGTTTGCTCGAACTGCCACTTTGCATTGTTTTCGTTTAAAACAATGTGTGTAGAGCTGACACGACACGTTATATTCGTTTTCAACTTCAGACTTCCGTCCAATCCGCTTTTAACCTGACCAGGTGAGAAACGCCTTTTTGTTCGAAGGCTCTTGTCAAACATGGTAAAAGTTCACGTTAAAAATTTGTAGCGTTTTGAGGACGCTCGAGCTGCCTCTCAGCCAGCAGCCAATCACATTGAGCCATGTTTGGTTGCCATGCGACGAGTGGGCCATTCAGCGCCGTGTTTGGTTTGTGTGTCGTGGTTTGCAGAGGCAGGCTGAGCTGGGAAGCGTTTAGCCTGGGAAATACGGCACGAATAGAGGCATGAAGTGAGTACATGAAACTTTACTCGTCGATTTCGTTCGATGAATAAACTCATTCAGGCCTTATGCGATGAAGCTCGTCCAGATACCGTTTCAATGTCACGCCGCACAGCAGCGCAATGTTTTTATCTCGATTACAATGACGTGACGTGTGCATTTTTTTTTTCAGTTTGTCCAATATTTCTGGTTATGCAAAGTGCACATGTTTTTGTCTTTCTCAGACAAGACATGCTGAAATAAGTGACACTGAACTGTAGCTCCGGAACTACTTCATAATTCATTTAAATCGGTCGGAAATAATCGTTTTTATTGGATACTGCCCTACAGACAATGGCAAAACTCTCGAAATACCACGCATGAACAGACACTGAACTTTAAAATACCCTCATCAAAGGTTAACACTAGTCGTCTGTCACTAAGGATTCCCAATTTGTCAAACCAGATTAGGTGTCACTGAGAGAAAATGCATATCCTTCTGAGTTATATTACTAACTTTTAAGAAGATAGAGGACAGGTAAAAAAAACAACAGTAGCACAGAATTGCTATTATTGAAATATTTTAGATTTTTTATTGAACTCTACATTTCTGTGTAGCTTTTATCCAAAGTTTCAAATAAGGGCTGATCTGTCTCACTCGAAAGCCCATACATTTTTTATTTCTTTATTTTTTTGTAACATACATAGTTTCCATCCATGTCTCTTGATTTGTTTCTCTGGAATTAAAACAACATGTTGTCTGCCTGGAGTTAATCTGATCAACAGATTACTCCATTAAGAAAAATTAACAGCCTTGGCTTGGCCTGCAACCTCTTAAGTGCTATGATACCATATACTTAAACTAACAAAATAACTATATTAATAGCTGTAAAAGAAATGCACTATGTTTTAGATGCAAATTACAAGCTTTTTATTCTTGATTCATGAGCTTTTTTACTCAGTTTGTTGCAGGTTTCAGCCCCTCACCACTGCATGTTTGTTCTCAAAGCCCGGTAATCCAGAGTGCATCGAATGGCCACTGCTAATCTGACCGTCTATTTCAGGATGCAGTAGGTGGATCTTGCATTCATGTTTTCTAATCTGCACATGCTGTAGATTTTCCACACTGGTTGCTGACGGCTGCACTGCAACAATGCCAGAGTCCTCACAGGGTGAGTTTAAGTCTCGTGAGATATTATAATTAATTGCAAAATGCTGTTTGTCTCACAAAACACGTTGCCATTGTTTTGTGTTATATTTGACTCTCCTATCAACTTTGTCCTTCAATGCTACTTGTTCTGTCCTGTAGTTTTTTTTTTTTTTACAATTTAGTTCTTTATTGCATTATTCCATAAACAGAATGTCCAACCTTTTAGTCCTGTATCAGAAATCATAACTGATCAATTCTATTCGTAATCATTGTCAAAATAATTCCTAGAATTCCTTCAACTGTTTATTTTAATTGACAAGTTATCAGTTCTTTCATATTGTAAATGAACACAAGACAGTGCATGGGAGTTATTTGACAGACTTCTTTTCTCTTTCAAGTCAAGGACGCTCGCCGCTGTTCTGTGGAATGTAGAGCACCTCCCTTGAGTCCGTTCAGCCAGTCATCGCTGCCACTCCACAGAAACTCTCACAGGCTCAGCACCTTCTGTACAGAGGACAATCTGCAGGAATGCCTGTCTCACATCAGTCAGGTCTGTTAGTTTCGTAGCTTTGAAATTTATTGGCCTACTCATAAATTGAGTCCCAAAGACAGATCTGGGGCAAACTGCAGCAATGTGTTGGAAGTCTGAACGCCAACTCACCTGATTTGTCTTATTTTACAGGAGGTCTCACTGCTGGGTCTTTCGACTAGCTGGACCGAGTCAGACAGCGGCTCACAACTGAATGTTGTGGCTGTGCTGAATTGCATGTATGACCTGATTCAGCTGCACCACAGGAGCCTGAGAACACTGGAAAACATGGAAATAGAGCAGCTGAAACTCAGCAGCAATGTGGATTTCCTGAAGATCAGTAACACTCATCTAAAGGTAAAGTAATGAGTGATTTGCCTAGTTTAAATATTGCATTGATAATAAAATTCCAGATTAGTTAATGAATAATGAAAAACACACACACAATTGGATTTCTCTGTGATCTAAAAGGCTTTGCTGTCAGTAACAGCTTTCCCTTGTGCTGTGCAGGAAGAGGTTGAAGTTTCCAAACGACAAAACACGGGATTGCTTGAGAGAGAACGACAGCTGCAGCTGAAACTGAAGAGTCTGCAGAACTGTCTGAAAAATGAGAAAGAAGAGGTGGGATGAGGCAATGTGCACTAGTTTAATCATAAGTAATACTTTCACACTTTACCTCATGCATTTTGTACAAAAAGCATCAGCTTGTTTTGTCTTTTTCTCTCCTTCGCGACAGGTGCAAAAACTGCAGAATATAATTTCAAGCCGTGCCTGTCAGTTCAACCACGAAATGAAAAGGAGGGAGAGAGAATTCACTAAACTGAAGGAGCGACTGAATCAACTCCTGGCTGACAAAAAAGATAGAAAATTAGGTAAAATATCACATTTGTTTGCAAAATAATTTTTCATTTTAGTACTCACTGTATGCAAGGAATTAACAGCTTGGAGACAATGCACTGAAACCTGCTCACTCCTTTACTGTGCTGAAAATCAGAATGGTAGTTGTATTTGTGAAAAACAATGAGATACTTCAGGGGAGATTGAAGAAGAAAATGTGACGTAAAATAAAAGTATACAATATTACTAAGCATAAAATAGCCAGAGAAACAGGTAACTTCCCCCTCTTTATGTTCTCTATTCTCCATGTTCTTGTTTTCCAGCTATTGACGTATTAAACAACATTGGAAGAGCCGATGGAAAGAGAAGCCTTTGGAAAACTGAAAAAACAGAGGCAAAGTAGGTTCTGTTCACCTTTATAAAATCAAATTAGAGCTCTATTGTTAAAGCCATGAGAGATTTTACTGTCAGTTTTGAAGAGATACATTTTAATTCAGAATGCTTTTATCATTATTAGGAAATTATTAAATTTTTATTGCCACACAAAGGAAGAAAATCATTGGCGATACTTAAAATGAATGTAAAGATGTGTGTGCAAAAAGTTTCTGTGATTGTAATGTTACACTACCACCAAAAGGGGTATGGTTTTTGCCAGGATGTTTAAATAATATGTATTTCAAACATGAACTTTAATTTTAGTTTATATTATTTATGAAGCAGTAGTTTAAAGCAATTGCTATGTTCACAAACAACAAAACTATGTATACATACTTTTGTTGTTTCTTTAAATAGAAAAAAAAAAACTTACAGCAGAACCTGACTCATTTTTAGCAACCGTCTACCACGACCAGATGGCAGCTCTCTGTTCTGTTACAACAAAAAAATGTATATATACTGAATATATTTTCCTGAAGGCATGAGGGAGAGATGTATAGGACACTTCTGAGCGACTACGACATGAGGCAGAGGGAGCTTGTCCTGGAAAACGCAGAGCTGAGGAAGGTGATGCATCAGATGAAGAAGGAGATGGTGTCCATCCTGAAGTCAAAAAAACTGATCCCCAACGGAGAAGATTATGAGCATAACGATACGCAGCATAACGATACGCAGCATAACGATTCGCAGGTTGGAGCTGTTTTGGCTAGTACTGTTTGTAAATATTGTTCCCACTTTTTCTAGTTCTTTTTCTTCCTGTTAAGTCTCCGTCGCACACATAACCAAATATTTTTTACGATTTACTCGGATTTCTGTACATTCTAGTTTTCCTTTTGTTTTGTCTATTTTATGTGTAAATACAAAAATATATTTTATACAATATCTTGCACACTTTTTTCAAGAATTTGTGTCTTAATTTCAGGCTGCCTCAGATGAAGATGATGAGGTGTTTGACCCCAGTCAGGAAAGTTTAGAGTTGTTTTGTATTGATGCCAGGGAGAAGCTGACTAACAGTATTCGCCTCCAGTGGAGAAGACTTAAGAGCCACGTTGAAACACTGGACAGCCAAGGTAGTGTGGAGAAAAAATGTGTTGGGTTTGGGGACTATATTCCATTGTTGAATACATTTCAGTAAATCAGGAGAGAACTGTTCATTGCTAACCATTCAAACAGTACTTTATTTTGTATCATTTATATGACTAAAAAGGAAAGTTTAAATATCAACAGATTTTCTAAAATCAGACAGCACATCTTGCACAGTGCATATCTAAGCAGTCCATTTTTAAATAATCTTAATGCTCTGGTCTGCCTCAATTTATTCTCAAGGCCCTCTTCTTTTGGTAATAATCAAATTCTAGATTTATAAGACTTTGGGATATGGATGATTTTTCCTTATTTCTTTTTTTAGTATCTTTGACTCAGATGTCTGAGTCTAACAATGATGACGCTGCCCCTCGTGAGAATCATGAGGAGGAGATGGACCGGCTAAAGATGGAGATCCAGCGGTGCAAAGATTTCATTCAAAAGCAGCAGCAGCTTCTACAGGTAAGACAGCATTTTTGGGGGGCTAAATTATAAAAAAATATGTACTTGAATATTGAAAGTCTGAAGATAAAGCTCATCAAACAATGAACATTTTTATCAAGACCTGTTTTGTACTGAAATAGATCTTACTTGAATTGTGGCCTTTATTTTTTTTACTTGTTCTCAAGCTCTACAACAATTTTTTGTGTATTTATTTAACCTCAATATTGGTGTATTTTCGTATTTTTGTTATGTTTCTGTGAAGTTGCATGTGTATCTTTATGTTTAGATATTTTTATAGATGCTAGTCTATCTGTTCTGTGAAACAGATTTACATAAAGATACTACTAAAGCTGCCATATTTTATCATATATGATTATTTTTTAAAATGGGCACAATTCCTACATTATCTTTTTTGAAATTATCCAGTTAATTCTGAGTTATGTGAATTTCTTCTGAATACCTCCTGCTTTGCTGGGGTCCTCATTATGCTTGTGCTCTATTGGTTTGCAGAAGCAGCTGAGCTGCGTGTGCAACGAAGACTCAGTGTCGCTGCAGAATGATGGCTACATGCTGCAGGAGAAGAAACGCCTCGGTGAGGAATGGAAGAACTTAGAGGAACAGAGAAAGAGCTTCGAGAGGGAAAGGAGGAACTTCACTGAAGCAGCTATTAGACTGAGCCATGAGGTGAACAAAATACTGTACAGGAAACGTGAGGCTAAAAATGACTATATATTGATTGTTTCTAAAAATGTTCTGATTTAACTTGCAGAGGAAGATCTTTGAAGAGGATCGGGGAACATGGCTCAAACAGCAGTTTCTAAGTATGAGTCCGTTTGGAAACACAAAGCAGCTTCATGTGCCGAAGTCTGCAAGTGCCTTATTGATCGGTGAGTCTTTCTTTAAGTTCAGAACCATTTAACAGTTGCTGTTTTGTTAATCTTGATTGGTTATTAAGTCACATTTTTATCTAACCAGCTGAATCAGAGGTTAGTGCACCGGTGGGTCCAGAAACAGTCAGCGAATGGCAATTAGACTCGGCCTCCCCAATACCCAGATCGGTTTCTCTCACATCGTCTTCTGCAGCTGATTTGGAGTGTGAGCTTTGCCTTATTCCAGAAAACGGGTACAACGTCTTTACTTGAATTTAAGTTTGTAAAACAATAACTTCTACGGTTGAATGTAATTGTATTTTATCTCTCTTTGTAAAGTGTGACTTGCAGCTCGTCAAAACACAGAAAGTCAGAACATTTTGAGGAACTGAGCCCACTATGTGAAAATATTTCTCTGCGGGACAAACAGTGGAGGGAGGGCGAGGACCTCAGCAGCCATTCACTCACACCTGAGAAGAGCAGTAGTATATAAAGCCATGGAAACTTTTATTGTTTGAATGTGAAATCTCTTCATGCATGCTGTTTATGCATAGTTGCGGAAATGTGTATCTGGTGAATGCAAACATGGAAGACAAAGTAAAATGAAGCCAAATATGTCTTGTTAATGACTGAAACAAAATGAATTGTAAAGGTTTCTTATTTTATATTCTTAGTGTTTTTAGTATTTATTTATTTATGTGGTACTGTAATCATTGTTGTTGAGCGTAATATTTTATGTTTGAAACTGAATGAGGACTTTTTTAATCTGTTTAGTTGTGGAGGAGCAAACATTTTCTCTTCAGTAGGACTGTTATAGTTGCGTTCAGTGTTTAATATTAGTTCTTATAGACTAAAAGAGGGATTGGTAGAGTTTAAGATTTTTTTTTTCTGACCAAGATTTAGAATGTAGCACTAAAGCAGCTGTTTATCTCAGAGCAATGTGAATGGAGCACAAATAGAATTTATCACAATTTATCATTCCCTAGTTGTAATATCAACTTTATTAGAATATGAATTACTGATTTTTTTGTGACTGTGTACGAGGGTGTAAGTTTTATAAAAGTATGTGATGCGTTAGATTTAAACCACTTCAGTGTTTCTATAATTGTAAACGTGGTTTGCTAAGGTTTATGACAGTTACTGTAACTCTCTTATATGAAATCACACACTTTATACTTAACTGAGTCATTACACATTGTTTAAATATGACATTCTGACCGTACTTCATTATATTTCTCCTGCATTACCTCTCTTTGCCTTTGGGTGGTGCTGGTGTGCATTGTGAAGCATAAATTCAAACACGAGGTGACCACTGACATCCTGACATTTTATCAGATTTTGGACCAAATTTATCAAGTCAGCCATGAAAAGAAATACAAATGGCAAGTAATTTTGGTCTTAATTTGAAAAATTAAGACCAAAAAAATTAATCTGTCTAATTTAAGCAATGTGAAATTCTAATGTCTTTGGAAATGCTTTAGTTAGTCAAGTTCAACAACTAAAAATCACATTTGAGTCCATCAAATTTGACTTTTTCGTTAAAAAAACATGGAATAGATGTGATCCTACAAGTGTGGTTATTAAAAGATAAATACTTAATGTTGTACCAAGTATTTTCCAAGAGCATTTTTTGTCGGTGATCATTTTTGCCCTAAATAAAACTGAACAGACTTGTATCATTTTAAAGCTGCAGTTAGGCCCACACATTGGATAGTGCTACTACTTTAGACAGGAGCACTTATTTTATCTTATGACGTTTAATGAGGAAAGGTGCTGCGGCGGTGGATAGGAGCCGTTATTCATGACTGGCAACCCTGGCTGTAAGCGGGGACTTTTAGCTAACACTTTTATCAAGATAAGGAGATTTACGTTATGTATTTTTAAGTATGATTAGAAAGATATCAATTATCGCTTCATGAAGAAATTACGAGTAGAACCATTAATAAGACTCGACTCAAACAATGGCGCACCGTCATATGTTTGGACAAACAGTGATTAGCATCTGGTATTTTTTTACGTTTTTAAGGCTGCCCCGTGTAATGGGAAACGCTGTTTATGACAGTGAGAAGAATTCAGGAAAAGTCGGTAATTTGAGAAACGCATCAGGAGGCAGGTGGTGAGTTGGTTTGTAAGCTAACTTTTAACATTTATAAACACCGCCCACTCGCCCCAACAAGGTTTACGGTCACACGTATATTGACTGATAAGTAGAAGCCATGGCTAAACTGGCAAAAACAACTAGTGAACAATTGCAGTTGCTCTGCTAACAAGTGTTATGCCGAGAATTGCAACCCCTGTCGCGGGAGCCGACTGAAGAGAAAACTTTTAAAGATATTCGTAACATTATCACGTTTATTAATCATGTAAGCCCTAAAATTGTGGGTTTTATTTCGCAAATTGAAATAAATACGTGTTTTTTCACGTTTATTGAGCCATATTTGTCGAATGTTCTTCAGTGTCTGATGAACATGTTCTCCGCAGCTGGTTTGAAATTCCCAAATTTTTTTCTTTTAACACCATAATAGCTTAAAGCTTTACAAAACCGAGGCCCATTATGTAGAACTTATTTTTACAGATTTTTTTGTAAAAAAAAAAAATCACGCTTAACTTAATGTAGGGGAGATGCATTGTAATTTCTTAGCCTGCTAATATTTGCATCCCCTGTCTATTGTCCTGTTCATATGAAAATTATAGCGGTAACTCAGAGAACAAGTGTCATTGCGTATAAAAGGTGAAATCCCTCTTAACTCTTTATTTCTCTTAAGTTAGCAGGGGGATGTATTTTTTGGCAATATAGATTTTCAGGCTGCCAAATTTGCATCCCCTCTATTTTCATCAAATATTATCCAATTGAGGTGAAACTCATACCAGCAGTTCTTAGAAATACTCTGGTTATGCAGAAAAAGTGTAATTCCTCCTAACTCTATTTCTCCAAGTTAGCAGGAGGATGCAAATTTTGGCAGCCTGAAAATCCATACTGCGAAAATATGCATCCCCCTGCTAACTTGGAGAAATAAAGAGTTAGGAGTGATATAACTTTTTCTACATAACCAGAGCACTTCTATGAAATACTGGTATGAGTTTTATATCAATTCTATAATATTTGATGAAAATAGAGGGGATGCAAATTTTGGCAGGAACCAAATCCATATTGCCGAAAAATACATCCCCCTGCTAACTTGGAGAAATAAAGAGTTAAGAGGTATGTCACCTTTTATACGCAATGACACTTGTTCTCTGAGTTACCGCTATAATTTTCATATGAACAGGCAATAGACAGGGGATGCAAATATTAGCAGGCTCAGAAATTACAATGCATTTCCCCTACATTAATACACTAGACAGTTAAGCGTGATATAAAATGTTCTACATAATGGGCCTCGGTTTTGTAAAGCTTTAAGCTATTATGGTTATAACTAAAAAATATTCACAAAACAACCAGAGTTGTAAACCAAAAGCCTTAACCAAACAGGACCAAAAACCCAGGGGTACGGTATACGATTCCGACTCAAGAGGATGGTCCCGATTCGGAGTCCGATACCGACTCAGTGGGACCCAATGGCAGGTCCCGACTCCGAGTCCGGTCCCGACTCAAAGTCCAGTTCCAACTCGGAGGCCGATCCCGACTCGGAAGTCCAGTTCCAACTCCGAGGCCGATCCCGACTCGAGGTCCAGTCCCAACTCCGAGGCCGATCCTGACTCAGATGGACTCGGAAGCCGTCCCATGTCGGAGACAACTCCCAACTCGGAATACGATTCCGATTCGGAAGCCGTCCCCGACTCGGAGGGACTCAGAGGCTGGTCCCCACTCGGGTACAGGTACCAACTCTGAATACGTGTCCGACTCAGAGCACGGTCCCGTCTCAGACGTTGATCCCGACTCAAAGGCCAGTCCCAACTGGCCTTTGTCCCGAGTCAGAGTCCGATCCCGAGTCTGGGTCCGGTCCCGAGTCAGAGGCCGGTTCCAAGTCAGTAGACGGTCCCGAGTCAGAGGCCGGTCCCAAGGCAGGAGGCGGTCCCGAGTCAGGAGCTGGTCCCAAGTCAGAGGCCGGACCCGAGTCAGGGGCTGGTCCCGACTCAGGGGCCGGTCCCAAGTCAGGAACCGGTCCCAAGTCAGAGGCCGGACCCGAGTCTGGGTCCGGTCCCGAGTCAGAGGCCGGTTCCAAGTCAGGAGCCGGTCCCAAGTCAGGGGCCAGTCCCAAGGCAGGAGGCGGTCCCGAGTCAGGAGCTGGTCCCAAGTCAGAGGCCGGACCCGAGTCAGGGGCTGGTCCCGACTCAGGGGCCGGTCCCGAGTCAGGAACCGGTCCCAAGTCAGAGGCCGGACCCGAGTCAGGGGGCGGTCCCAAGTCAGCAGCCAGTCCCGAGTCAAGCCGGTCCCAAGTCAGGGGCCGGTCCCAACTCAGGGGCTGGTCCCAAGTCAGGTGCCGGTCCCGAGTCAGAGCCCGGTCTCAAGTCAGGAGTCGGTCCCGAGTCAGAGGCCGGACCCGAGTCAGGGGCCGGACCAGAGTCAGAGGCTGGGCGAGGCTCAAGAGGTTCACTCTTGGATGGTCCGTGAGTTTGAATACAATCTGTGTGAAATCCGCAACAAAACATATGTAGAAAACTCTTCCACGCCTTTCCCAAGTCAGTTTTTTCGCAGATAAATTTTTCTGGGTCTCGACAGAGTTCTCCTGAAGCATTGTATGAGTTTGTACGTTACATGTGGGTTGTCACCTGATAACAACTTGAACAGCAATTTTCTCATTACACTATTATTTCCACACAGAAGTTGATAGATGTCTTAACAAAGTTTTTGGTCCATGTCTTCAAAGAAGAGAAAATCAATATTTTTAACTTCTTGCCATAGTCTCAGATTCAGCTTTGTATGAATAGGTTCAGTGTTCTTCAGTGAGTGAGTGCCATGTCTTGATGTCTTTCTGGATTTATCAATCAACCGACTAAGAATTTTTTCAACCATTTTTCTTCTTTCAACTTCGGTCCCATGTTTCAAATCTATTGTGTTTGTGTCCTTTAAAAATTCTTCATAGTCCTTGTCTTCACTCAGGCAATTTTCATCCGAATATAGCTCCTCGCTTGGAAAAAATCTCTGTCGAATCTTCTTTCTGGTTGATGTGAACATCTTCTTTGTCGGAAAAGGATTCTCCAGGCGATTCTTAAATTGTTCCACTATAACCAATTGCCCGTCTCTGACATTGAGGAGTCCAATTAAAATTAGTCCAGTACTCGAGGGAAATTCATCCTGTGTGAGACTTCTATATATTCTTTCAGTCAGCTCTTCAAAGATCTTTGATAGTGTCGTCGCGTTGAGGACTCCTGTTACACTTGAAAGCTGGAGTAAAACTCTCTGGTGTTGCTGTTGAAAAACTTCTCTGACGAGGTGCTGGGTTTGAGCATTTGAGCAATTCAAATGAATCTTGTGTTAACCGCCCAGAGAGTTTAGCTGATCAGTGATGTCATGGACTCTATGAAATCACAAAGTCATCCTTAGAAGGGCCTCATGACACAGACATCATTTGAAGTCATGCTGATGACATCATTGTCAGCACCCTTAGCACTGCTGCTAAGGGTGCTAATAGCACACATTGAGCATGTGCTATGAAAAAGAGTCTGTGGGGATTAAATACACCAAATCAAAATTAATATTGCCAAAAAATGCATCCCCCCAAGCTTAAAAAAAAACAGTTTTCAACCTGGATGGTGTTCTTCAGGAGCATTTATTTGGCCTTTTGGAGGTTTCAATCAGTACATTCACTGGGTGTACCAAGCTGTTACAGTGCTCTTGTGAGGTTAACTTTCATCACTTTCAAGATCATGCTCCCCTTTCGAGACATGATCTCCCATAGACCTCCACAAAGTGATGCTGATTTTATATTTCATATTCATTTCCCTGTAATCACATCTTGTAAAATGTAGATTTTTTTTCTTTGTGAGTGAGCAAGTGTTTTTCCACCAATTATTTTCACTAATAGTTTAAATGTACAGGGTAAATTACATTTTTCCCTTCACTTATGTGCAGGGATTTTTTTTTTTTGATAACAGAAGTTTCCTTCAATGTTTATTGAGTCTTTGAACAATGTATTTGAATTCTATTGGAAGCAGTTTTATTATGTTTTTGAGTTGAAAACCTGACATTAGTTTCAGTTCTGCACATTTTCACATCTAAATTAAGTGAAAAGTGACCTTAAAAATGTTGAGTCCCAGAGAAAGCTGGGTTTTTTCCCTTTTAAAATCTTTTATAAATCCATATATCACACACATATATTTAAATAACCACTGTCACTGAATTTTAAGATGCAGTTTATTTATTGTTACAGAAAAAATTTACACGAAGTGACTTAAAGAAAAAGTAGTTAAGAGCACTGGGCGATGCAGTTGCACGCCAGGTGAGCTTCGGTAGTCTTTCTCATGTCCACACTTCTGTCATAGACATTGCTCTCAGGATCTGCACAAACAAAGAAAATACACCAGTGAGAAATTGCACTGTAAATGTTTTATGGATTACCCCCCTTTTCATAGATAAGAAACTCACCAGATGACCAACAGTTGAAACCAACAGTGACGGCGGTGGTCTTAATTGGCATGCATCCAGGCAGACAGCGAGGTACAGGCTCAACAGAGGAGCATGTGGAGTCCTCACCATGAATGGTCAATTGTTTTTCCAGTTGCACAGATTCAAGCTTCAGACGGCACTCTGCAGGAGGACAATATTGCTAAGTGAGTTTTCAAAGAAGGCAACACACAATTAATTTATGTGCAAAACTTCTAGATATATATTGGGTTTTACCAGATACATCCCTGCAGCTTTCAACGGGTAAAATCCAGGAGTGAGCAAAGCTGACTGAATTCTTAGCCACGCGTCCGTTGGGAGTGTGGTACTCCTGTCTGATTTCTCCATCAGCCTTTCCACAAAGTCCACAGGTCTTTCCTCTCATCCAGTCAGCAATTTGGATCTGCAATGCAACATCAGGACATTAGAAAGCAGAAATATCAACTACATTTGAGGTTTCTCCAAAATTTATCTTGTAAACTTTTAGAGTATGCAAGGGAAAAGTTAATGATAAACAGTATTTTTTTTTTACCCTCCATGTCTTTCTGTCAAAGTAGACTTCTTGGAGACCATGTTTAGGTCCAAATACAACAAGGCCCTCTTCACTCTGTCTGATATCAATGGAAGCTGTAACAGTTTCATGATGCAGTAATTTTTAAAAATGTAACAACACTCAGAATTACATAATTACAGAATTACATTATCAGGTGTAACTAGTGTGTAGATATTAGTGTGATGCTAAATAAAACAGTAAGGACTGTTCGTAGTAACCTGTTGGGTGGCGGTAAGGCAGGCTGGTGGGGGGAATTTCCATTTCGTTAACCTTTAACACAATGTTGTTGTCCCTTGGATACATGTCGATGTCACTGAAAGCATAAAAGTGAAAACCCTGTTTAATTTGGTTTCTTGATCGTCCTGTGTGTGAAGATTAAGGCTGTATTCAAGTTTTCCCTGGAAACTCACATCTCAGAAATTTTGACATTGATATGGTGTTGCTCTGTAGAATCTTTTCTCAGGAGAACCATAAACTTCAGTTCATCAGTGCAGTCCTGTGCGACAACCTGGTAGCAAGAGGAAGGCATCTTGATCTTGAAGCTCCTGTTGTTGAATGTGTAAAGTGTGTCTTCAACAAGTCTGCATTCAGCTGGAAAGAGTAAGAAAACACACTTAGTCTGAAATTGGCAGACAAAGGTATCTGTACTTACAAAAGAAACATTTGGCATTACCTGCGCCAGCCTTCGAAACCATGAAGTGGATCTTGTCAATGACTTCCTCAAATGGGCTGAGACCTTTGATTTCTTCAATGGGCATATACAACGGAAGGTGCACAATGACATTGTAGACAGATTTCTGCAAAAAGAGTTCATTTCAAATATAAAATTACTCAGAATATTATTGACACTATCTATTTGGAGAACAAAGTCTGATCCTTTTCATACCATTGGAGTTTTCACAGTGAACTCAACTCTCCTGTAAGAAGTTGCAACTGCAATGACTGAGAGTTTCCTGGTGCCGTTTACTTTCCTTGTGTGAATCAAGTCTCGCAGTACTTTAGAACGGACATATTTGTTGAGCCTGGAAGGAAATGAAAACATCTCAGAAACTGTACAAAAATTCCTGACATGGAGTCCTATGTGATGTAGAGTTTCTTACAACTTTCCATAACGTTTCACGGCAGAAGGCAGTCTTTGCCAGGACACTCTGAGGCGAGCTGCAGGGTTTGAAGACACAAGACCAGTCTCTGCTGTAGCATTAAGGCTATATCTCTTGCGTTGTTCGCCCCAGGAAATTCTAGTCTGTTGACAAACAACATTGCATTAGAATAAGTCACCTATGGTTGCTGCTAGACTTTTATTATGTATCTCATATACAGGGCCTTACTGTAACTTTGTGCTTGCTCAACACAACTCCATCAGCAAAGAACCTCCAGTTATCAGAATCCAGGCTGGAGATGATGATCTGAAGTCTGGCATTTGGTTTGTCAAGGTAGACAGCAAGTTGGTATTCCAACATCCTCTTGTCAGCTTTGATAGCACGGAACACCATTGCCACAACAGCTTCCTCTTCACGGAGGAATTTTTTCTGAGGTGACACTCAATGTTAAATGGGGTAGATTCACACTTAAAACTAAACAAAACATAAATAACACCTTGTAAGTGCTTATTAATTTTTCTGATGAGCAAATTTCACCTGATTATAGATGGCCTCATAGCTGGAGGAAGTGCTTCTGGAATCTGATTTGGAGGGAGAATCCTTTTTGTGTGTCCTCAGGAACTTCTCAGTCACTTGCTGTAAAGAACAAATATTTCTGTCAGATATCCCACCTGCATTACTGGTGTGTTAAAACACTTTCCTGCAAGACCAGGTTGAAAATATTTACCCTAGAGCGAGAGGCACCGGAGCGAGAAGAGCTTGACCTGCCGCTGAAGAGAGATGCGAGGCTTGATGCAGAGCTGGTCCTATCTGACCTTCTGCTGTCTCTTGATCTGCCATTCCTGCTTTTCCTGCTGCTGCTGCTGCTGCTGCTACTGCTGCTGCTGCTGCTGCTGTGAGATGAAGAGCTGGAGGAGGTCTTAGAGGAACGAGACGAAGAGCTGCTTGAGCTAGAGGAGGAAAATGAGCTGTTCCTTCTTGAAGACAGGATTTTGTTGAGCTTCATCAGGACTGGTCCTCCTTCCTCTGTGATTTCCTCTTCGTTCAGGTTGATGCGCTTAAGCTTCTCTGCAGCATTTGGCCCGACTTTAATCTCCATTTCCAGTCTCTCAACAACTTCACCTTCAACTTAAGTTAAAAGATAGTCATTAATATATTTTGTGTACAATATGTTTCTATGGAATACTCAAGTGTGACTTCGCCTGTGCTTACTTGGTCTCACAGAGAAAGCAAAGTTGTGGCGGCCAGCCATTTTGTACAAGAGACCATCTCGGAAGTAGGCAGCATTTTCACTAGCAAACCTGAAACAGGCGCTCAGTCCAACACCTCTGTACTTAGCGCAGTACCTCTTGGCAAATGCTCGACTCTTATGTTGACGAATGGACTTGACATATTTTGCTTCCTCTGGAAGGAGCTCAGAGGATGACAGCTGTAAGAGAAGTAAGACCCAATCAGAATTTAATTGCAGATGTAACAGTAGCTGTCAAGGATAAGATAAATTTACCAGGCTGTCAGCATAGGAAGCTCGCGCGGATGATTTGGCTGGGGTTGAGGGCAACTCTTTGGTAGGGAAGAGGTAGGTAGTTTTCTCTCTAGGAAGTTCCTCGATATTTCTTGACCCTGCAAAAGTTGTCACACTGTTGAAGAGATAATAAACAAATTCAGCTGGACTGCAAGTTTAGTGATAGAGGTCAAGTTAAATTCATCCAAGTGCTTACTTCACAAATGTGATGTTTTCAGGCGCTTCAACTGGAAGAGCTTCAAGCTTAAAGTCGCCTTCTTTGATGTTGAGTCTTGCAGCAATTTTGGCTGGCATAACAGAGTGGACCTTGGCGTTTGCTATCACAAAAGCTTGGAAAACGTCAGTGTTGAGTCCCATAACTGCAAATGTGTTCATGGAAACACTAAAAAAAGAGAAAGGTTTTCAAGTTTATTTTTATCATACTAATCGTTTCATGGTGAATTTCATGTAGTGTATGACGGTGGCCACTTACGCTGGTCTGACCTCAGCCTCGAGCTGAATGTCTGTCTCCAGGAGCTTGTTGAGGGGGAAATCTTCTGGCAGGCGTGGCGATGTGTTTGGCCGGACTAAGAAAACAGGAAAAACTCTTGACCTTTCCTGTTGCTTAAAACCGATAACAAGATTTTCTTTTACTTTGAATAAGGAAGTCACATTTAAATGAGACTATATCTTAATATGGTTACAGTGTAAAAACACAAACTATATTTTTGTCTGGTTTCTTGCTGAAAGATTACTTGTAAGTTAATTTTATTTCAAGTGTTGTAAGATAGCAGTAGAAACGTGAAAAAATAAAATACTTTTTTGTGTTTTTGCAGTGTAATAATCTGTCATCATGTCATCTCCACCTCTCAGTATAAAGTTAGACTGCAATCCCTAAAGAGAAATTCATTCTGAACTGTGTTTTTACTCACTTTTAACAGAACCTGCAGCCACAGCAGCAGTGAAGAGACCAAGCTCCATCGGGAGACCAGCGACAGTTGGAAGAATGCGTCTCACCTCAGCAGCCAGCACAGGCTTAGCATACTTGAAGTTGGTGCCAGATATGAGTAGAGCCTTAAGAATCTCTTTTCCAAATTCCTGAACGGGTACGTTCTTGGCATACTGTAAAGAAGCAGTATATAGTTTATACTATGTCTGGCAAAACTTGATTTTTCTTGAGCTCAGTTGATAGTTGTCTCTAGTACCTCAACAGCCTGCTCGATCATGGGTTTGTCAATCTTAGCAAAGGCAACCTCCTGTCCAAAGAGCTTGACATAGATAGAAGCCAGAGGTTTGTCTCCGGGCAGGGATCTCCATTCTGATAGCTGTGGAGAGGAAAAAAGTTATGCCTTTTGTGTCATGTTGGAGAGTGTAATATTTCTTCTTTTGATTGGTGCTTACAGCCTTTATGACACGTTTCATTTTGGTGATCCTGTCAGTGTTTTCAGTGAGAGAAGGGTTTTTCAAAAGCATCTCCTGCAGTCCATCAATTGAGGCTCCGATCTGTAGAGAAAACAAACAGCAGCATTAATAACAATACTTCTACTATATGTAATTGAACATGTGTTTGTATTTTCAATGACCTCCAGGGCCTCTGCAGTTGCTCCAGCGAGGAAGGCTCTGGTCTTTGCAACAGCAGTGTTTGGAAAAATATTTGCAGCATCATTGATGTAAAAGGCAGTTGCAGCAGCACCAAGCATCAAGGACCCTGTTATAGATATTAATAGACAGGTTAGCTAATACTTCAGTAAAAATAGATCTCATCTTCTCTTTATGTCGTCTCACTGTTGTAGATGTCCACATGAACAGCTTTGCTATAACGCAGGCCCAGTCTGTCCAGCTTTGGGCTCAGCAGTTTCATGGCAATGTTGCAAGCAGCGGCACTGCAGTAGGAGCATTAAAGAGGCGACTTAGCATAATTCTTTAGGATTTAATGATAATTCAGAAAGAGACAATTGCCTTACACATCAGAATGGACGGTTGCATGGTTCCTACTCAGGGACTTCATGTGAGAGTAAGTGAAGCTGGCCACCTGCAATTTCTCCTCTCTTTTCACAGAGTTGACAACAATGCTCACCAAACCGATGGAAGGTCTTGTCTCAAAGAGAACAATGCAGGAAAGCATACGGAGCTTTGGGTGGAGAGCCTTGTCCATGTAGAACTGGAGAGCCAGGTCCTGGACCTAATTCAGAGAAGAAAGATTAACTTCTAATGCACCTCTGTGGATAGACAAAAACACTTTTAAGCACTTTATATTCCAACCAACCAGTCTGGGCTCCTTCTTTGCAATGTTTCTCAAAGCCATGATGGCTTCAACATGAACTGTCATTGGCAGAGATGCACCAACAGTGCCATGGACCGGCATGATCTTAGAGAGAGACTTGAAGCTAGATGGATGTCCAGCATTTCCCAAAACCTTTACGAACAGGATGATGTTGTCTTCCTCATTCCTGGCAACAGCATTTGAAAGTCGATCTTGAATAGGCTGTTAACGGAAATGAGTAATTAACAACATATTTTAGTTCTCCCAGCTTTTCCTCAGTATGAAGCAAAATGGAATTTATGTGGTTAAATTACCTTTAAAAGTTCAGCTGGACAGAGTGCTTTCTCATTACAGTATTTGTAAACCATTGTACCATATCCAAGGAAGACAACCTCACGCAAAAGTGGATTTTTCTCTACTTTGTCGTTCGCTAACAGGTCCTTCAAAAGTGGAAAAAACATTCATATTGTATCCATTCATTCTTTCTTATTAATCAAATGAGTTATTCACAAAGTGCAGACCACCAACCTCGAACAGCTTGATAACGTCGGGGTCAGCAGTCACCATGTGCACAGCTGCAACCAAAGCTTGAGCTGCTTCAGCAATGCTCATTTCCTCAGCCATGAACTTCTCTTTGATAAATCTAAAAGCGGCGGGAGTGCCAGCAACTGGGATGGTATCCAAGAACCAGTGTCTGCAAAGGGAAAAAGAAATTAATTTAGAAAAAAAAGTTCATTAAAAGCATTCATTTATTGTGCAAGTTCTGTTCGGTCGCTGATATGAACCTGTGAGGCGACATCTTTTTGTACTGGTTCCAGTACATTTCCAAATCTTCGAAGCGGGCAAGACGGAGGAGTTGTACCAGTTCCAAGAACTTCATAGGTGCATTTTCATGAAGATTCTCCACGTTTATGGTGGCAAGCTGATTCATGACCTCTGCAGTCTAATGTCACACGATCATCATCATCTGAAGCCAGAATTCACATGATTTACTAATCCTTACAAAGCAGTCTAAACGTACCTGGGCCTTCGCATTGCTGATCTTGACAAGCTTAATGGGTGTCTGAAGAAGTTCATTGGAGAACTCGTACGTGATAGATCCACGGTGACTATACGGAGCGTTGATGGGTGTAATGGGGTCTTTCTGAATTTCAAGGAACTCAAAGGACTGCCTTTAAATCAAGGTGTAAACATATTAGGTTGATGTCAGTGTTAAATGTATTTATAAAGCACTTTCAAAACAGTTGAAGCTGCACCAAAGTGCTGTACAGAAGTCCATAAATATACTATTTCTAAACATAAAAAACTTACAACAATTAGAATAAATCATAAAGGCTTATAGACCTCTTTGGAGATTAAACTAAAACCTAATATCACCTCGATTTTGTTAGTAGTTCTTGACATACCTGGTTCTCATTTGAGTAGCTCCATTATCCTCAGAGAAAGGCAAGAACTGGATCAGCTCATTAACTTCCGCTTTCTGGATCATGACGGCACTAGCGAGTGGTTTCAAGTTGTAGCTGAATGTTGTGCTACCTCTCAGGTTTATGGTTTCCTGTCAAAAACAAGTCATGGGTTAAATGCAAAGTTTAGCTTTGAACAATTTTACATTGGAACACAATGGATTTAGTTTTACCTCCTGGCACCTTTCACACTTCTCAGTGTATGCCAATCCCATGTCCTTAATGATTCTTTCCTGGCAGTTGTTCAGGTCCCTGGTCTTGGTCAGTAGGATGTTCTCAATTCGTTCATCTTCACTGATGGAGTAGAGGGTCTTGCACACACCCTGAGATCCAACCTGTGGAGAACAGAAAACGTTTTAGACTAAAGTTTTATGACTACTGGTATATAATGTCTTAAATAGGCTACCGTTTGGCTCTTTTACAAACCTCCTGCAAGTCAAAGACTTTGTGGGTCTTCTTGATGTTCAGCTGGAGAATATTCAGAATGCCTCTGTGGATGTTCAGCACCACAGTCGATACCCCTTGGGGAGCAAAGATTTTACCAACAACACCATTGGTGTATTCAAACTTGATGGGGATCGTAAACTGAGGTGCCAGGGCTGCCATCAACTTGCTTGCTGGGATTGCCGAGTCGTTTGGCCAAATGCCATTGTACTCAAAGAACTCAGGATCCTTAAGCTGTGATTTAAATAAAATGTGTTGGTTAGGTATTTGGAAAGGTAAATGATTCCTGTTGCTAACTTATTTATTGTTACCTTCAGCATTAAATTATTTTGGTCAGCTTGGCTGATGAGAAGTTTGGAGCTGATTTTCAGTCCAGCTCTTGCCAAACCTTCCTCAGGAAGACCGCTGAGGAGTAATGCTTCATACTTGTACACGTAGGTCTTACCGGTAGCAAATTCAGGAACTGAGAACACAATTTTCCACAGTGAGAATAATGCTTGACATTTGCATGTTATTGTTAGCACTGTAAGTCAGAGAATGTGGTAAAATTCACCTTCAAAAGCTTAGCTATGTTTACGTTCAAACTTACCTAAATCAACCATTTGTCCAGCTGGGATGGGAAAAAGAAAATATTTTTGTGAAACAAGAAAGAAGAATGAATAATTGTTTCACATTTATATGAAATAAATTAATCAGAAGCTTTGAAGAAATCCTTAAACTATTCCAAAAATTTTACCAATAAACACTTAACTATTTAAGAAAAGAAAAGACACGAAAAACATCAAATGTTCAAATCATAAATCAAAGCATAATAAAAGTCTATGGCAAATTATGAAAAAAAAATGTAATAAATGCAATCTGTTAGTGCAGTATGCTTCTTACCCACGAAGGCCAGAGTCAGGGCTAGTACAACCGCTTTCATGGCTGAGGAGGCTGAGACAATCCGTGGTGACAGGCAGCCTTTTGTAGGGACATCGGTGCTATGCAAATATGCCCGTTGCCTTTAATTTGATGGATAACTTATTTATCTTTTGGTCAGAATCTGGTTTGTGCAACATGCATCACAGGATGGAAAGTTAGGGTCACCTGACCTGGTTCTTTGATGCAGGTCAAACCTGAGCGTCTTGTTTTGAAATTATGACCAAATAGTTCCATTTAGCAATTTCTGTCTATAGTGTAATACAGCTTCGTTCTATTAAACATTTGTAACACTGATATTTAATATGTAAACATTATTTCAAAAGAAAATATTGACAAAATATGACATATTTTCTTTTCATAAAGGCTTCAAGCTTTACAGCATATTGTTTAAGGAGATAAACTGCTTGTTTGTTGGCAATACAAACGTAACAAGACTTGGTAATAAAATTACATATCGTAGACAAGTCATCAGACAGAAGATTTTTATTTGTCATTATGCTTCTAGAACATTATGAAATTGGAGTGGTACCCTCAGTAATCAATAGATAAATAAATAAAGTCTCCATTAGTTTTTAAGGTGCAGCATAAAGATGTGGGTGTGCCTGCAGGGTCAGAGAGGATAGAAGGATGTGACAGATAGATTTCATGGCTCTTGAGAAAAATCTGTTCTTCAGCCACAGGGTTATGCTGGTAGTGACAAAAATTGTGTGATTTGAAATAAAATTTTTGTTAAATGTTTTGGCATTTCTACTATGCAAGTAATTTTTTTTATGTTAATACATTTTCTGTTCTTGTCTTATGTTCCTTAGGTATTTATATTCCATAATTAATTTTGTAAAGATTTGTGATAACTGTTCATCAATTTCAAAGTTCACTTTGAAAGGCAACCTAAAACTAATAGTAAGATTTACTTTCTTTGTTTGCTTTGGTCACTGTGACCACTTAGGTCAGGTCATTTTAACAGGTCAGGCTTTTAGGCTCAAACAGTTTTATCAGTGCCAACCACAAAAGGTTTTCACGTTTCCATCTTGTGCATATTTATTTTACTGTGTGGTTTTAACCCAGGCCAATGCGTTCTAAAAACATGATGTGAGCACAGGACACACAGTTCATAAACCATAAAAAACACCTTTTCTTATAAGACTGATTATTCTATCTTTTTAAAGTAACATTAAAACCAAAATACATCATACTGAAAATGTACAATATTAGTATCAAACGTGACTTGAACTCCTTCATAGTAAAATCTAGCAGTATGGAGATGTCTGAGTCAATCCTAATCTTAGGATCATTTTGACTTTGACAAGTGTATATGCCTTTAATATCCATCATTATTCAATCAGTACTGCAAACAATATGGTAGTATCAAAAACACCAAGGTGGTTCTTTTTAAGTGCTTGGACTTTTTGGAAGCTTTTAAAAGGATTCAAGGCCCAAATGGAAGAACAAAACATGCAAAAAGTAAATTTTGCATGATAGGTCCCCTTTTCCACGGCACTGTGATTGGAAGACAGGCTTGTGGTTTTTAACACTGGTGGATAGAGGATAGTTTTCTCCAGGAAGGTAAATACTACTTACACTATGAGACAGTAAAATACAAGCCTGCAATATGTTATATATTGTATCTTATCTGTGCTGGTTACTGAGAAATGCATATTTCAAGAGCTTGGTATTGAGTGAAAATAGTCTCAAAATATCTGTGTGTGTAAAAATATCTGTGTGTGTGTGATACTGGATTTGTAACTCGTGTAAGCATCTTTCTGTATAACTGGATAGTTGTGTCTGTGAAACATGATTTGTAAACCTGAAAAGTAAAATAAACCTCCTATGCCTACAAATGTTGAAAAAGAATGCACAAGTCACCGGGTAAAACACACAAAACTGCTTTTACGCACAGATCCGGTTACGAATGCACAAGTATTTTTGAGACTCATTTCACACTTTGGGAGCCTCCGAATTTGTGTGTAGATGGTGCGTTTACATGCTAGTGGAAAGCTGGGTCATCTGACTTCTGCTCTGAGTCTAGTATTTTTAACCTCTGAACTTTAGAGGATAAACCTTTTGTGTTTTTGTGCAGTCACAGCATGTTATCGTCTTCAATTTCACAATTTACATTTCAGTACACTGTGTCGCCAAATGTGTTTGCTCTTTTGCCTTCAAACACACAAGCTTGGATGACATCCCAATGAGGTTTAACATGAAGTAGATTGATCCTTTGCTGCTAGCACAGCTTAAATTCTTCTACAGTAAGAAGGATTTCCACAAAGATCAGGAGTGTGCTTTTGAGGATTTGAACTTTTCTTCCATTAATGAGGTCAGTTATTGATATTGGATGAGAAGGCCTGGCTTGCAGTTTGTGAACTGTTTATCCAATCATCACATAAAGATTAGAAGTTTGTCCAGTCGGGTCACTTCTCATCATACCTGCTGTGGGAAAACCAGCACACATACACAAAGTCAATCTGGGCTCAGACAAAAATAATAATATTCTTAAACTGCATACAGAAACAAAATTAAAAAATAGAAAATGAATACAACAAATTAAATACAATAGTTCATGTTAAAACTTGCTTGACTGTTTTTGAAAACAAAGTTGGACTAAACCAATTGTTTTTACTGTCATAGAAACATCAGGGGGAGCAGGAAGTTGAGTGCAGTGATCAGCAGTTAGAAATTATTTGAAAACTTTAACATGTTTGCTATTACGACACAAAACACAGTATGTCCACCCTGATCTCAGTCTCAGCAGGGAATCATCATCAAGTTAATAATGTCAGCTCATGTCTTTATGGCCATGACTCAATAATTTGTACATAGACTTACCATTAGTATGTAGTTTGCATTTAAAATTCACTTGCAAAATGTTATAAAGGTGTTATATTTGAATAGTATGAAAAGACTAACCATTGTGGTTTGGTTTTGATTATTTTTTATGTATGTAGCAAACAAAAACATCCTTGAAGTTTATCATTTTTTGTCTAATAATCATCTCAAATGATGTCATCATATCTCACTCTAAATGTGTGGTGTTTTTTTTTTTCAAATTCATGTTATTTTTTGTATTTCTGTTAAGTTTTAAATGTATTTAGAAACTGTCTTGGATTTCTTGCTTTTTTTATTACTATTAATAACACCTATAATTAAGAATGCAATGAATGATAAATTTTCTTAACCCTTCATTTATTTTTAATGATACCTTTTATTACTTTATGCCATCAGCATTCACCACAATTTCAATTGCTTCTTTATTTTAGTTTACAAGCACACAGGAAACACAAAAACAGAACGAATGTCAGAAAGCGACCCAATTAGGCACACTGCGAAGTGCAGCGACAGGCCAGGTGGGACTCCGCTGTCTCGCTCACATCAATGCTCTTGTCGTAGATGCTACTTAGACCATCAGAGCGATTCATGTTCGACTCTGAAAGGGAGAGTGGAGCGGTTAGGACTGGTGCAAGGTTTGAGGAATGCTTTAATAAATGCGTTCTTGGGGCTAGCTGCTCACCCAGAGGAACGCAGTGGTAGCCGACAGTGACGGAGGTGGTTCTCACTGGCTGGCAGCCAGCGAGACAGCGCAGCACAGGTTCGACAGAGTAGCATTTAGTCTCCTCACCGTCCAGCCTGACCTGCTTCTCCAGCTTCACCGATTCAAAGTGCATGAAGCACCCTGGAAAAATATTTGACAATTTCATTTTGTGTTATTTGCAGACTGCTTTGAGTCCATCGTTGTGCAAAGTCTTTTGAGTCGCGGTTGCATTTTTAAATTTTACCTGAGGCCTCACGGCAGCTCTTTGCAGGCAGAACCCAGGAATGAGCGAAGCTCGTTGCGTTCCTGGAAACCCGCTCGTTCGGAGTAACATACTCCTTTCTGACTTCACCGTCAGCTTTTCCACAGATTCCACAGGCCTGGCCTCTCATCCAGTCCACCACCCAAACCTCGGAGGAAAAAAAGGTGTTTGAGTCTCGATTCTACAATTATCAAGATGTCATTAAATGAATACCCAAGTTTACCAGATTTTTGTCATCACCTGCACTTCATCAGAGCTGTAGAAGACTTCCTGAAGACCATTACTGGGAGCAAACAGAGAAATGCCCTTCTCTTTCACGCCGATATGTAGTCTGCCTGTTATAAATATACACATTTAAACATAAAAATAAGTGGCTGATATGTGTAGATCCAGCATATAACCCACCACATTGTTCTACCTGATGGGTGATGATATGGCAGGGTGTTGAGAGGAACTTCTGTTCCATTAATCTTCACCCTTACGGCATTGTCCTTGAGATACATGTCGACATCGCTGTGGAAGCACAGTATAATGTCAAAGTCATTTTCTTCACAGTCATATTGCATACTATGTGCAGTCGTCACTTACATGTTTTGAATCTTGATGTTGATCTCATTCTTTTCTGCTGTTTGATCCCTCTTCAGCAGAACTATAAATTTGAGTTCATTTGTGCAATCTTGAGCCAAGACCTGAGGGCAAGAGTGGGGCATCTCTGTTTTGAACTTCCTTTTGTTGAAGGTCACCACTTTGTCATTGACCACAGAGCACTCAACTGAAATGAGAAAAATATTGAATTTTACCTCTTCAAAATGAGCATAAATTAGGCATGGCCAAGATTGAGATTTGCAGATTATATTTTTATGCACATTTTTTAAGCTGAAATTTGTAATGTAATGTAATTGCTTTCTTTGTAATATTTGCATGATGTGTGAGGGTTTTTCACCTGCATTAGACTTGGTGAGCAAAAAGATGACTTGGTCCATCAACTTGCCCTGATATGTCTGTAGCTCAGCAGCAGCGTTTTTAATCGGCAGGTACAAGGGAACGACCCATCCCAGTTTGGAATAGGTCCTCTGGATTTCCAACAAACAGAAATGATCTTTGTCATATACGTGCAATGCAAATGTGGTGTTTGCGTGAATGAAAAGATGATGCATCGCCGCACCTTTGGCGTCTTCATTGCGACATCGAGGGTCGTCTCGTTGACAACAACTACAGTGAGTTTTATCTGTCTGGGTTCATTGTGGGCCTTTGTCCTGTTCACTCCAATGTCCTCAGCGATACGGTAAAACCAATCAGAGACTCTAGGTGTGAAAAAAGTTAACACCCCTTAAAAACTTACACAGATTGAGGCTTGACTTCCAAAGGTTGATGGTGACAGGAAGAAATCCTTCGTTTGTAATGTTACCTTCTTGAATATTTGTTCATGTAATGAGGGAGTCTCGCCCAGGCCAGCTTCACTCGGATTGCAGGTTTCTTCTCAACGCGACCGGTTTCAACTGTGACCGTGGTGTTGTACTGCTTGCATTCCAGTCCCCAGGTTAGTCGAGTCTGGGAAAAAATTCAGTTTCCAGAAAATATACTAATTATAAGTAGTAAAGGACAGTGCATTAAATGAGAACTTGTGAAAAAGCTTAATCTAAAATCTTCCTTCTTCAGTTCAGACGTTATAATTGCCAGTTTAAAAGGAAAACTCACAATTTATTGAAAAAATATTGAAAAACAATGCATTGTTGTGGTCTGTTCTTTCTCAGTGATTTTAATGGCAAGGTGCATCAATGTGTGCTAATTTATGAGAAAGCACAATTGGGGACTAAATCGCTCATCAGCAACATAAAATCTTTGCCTTGCACTGCACAGTTTGAAGTTAAACAGTTTTACCTTTTATTTTGCATTTTTTAATGTTCCCATAGGAAAAGTTAAATATGAATAAATAAATGAAAGCAGCAACCTGGAAACCTGCAGGCCTGGAGACCTGCAGTTTTGCTCTAAAAAAGCTAAACTGCTTGGAACTACAGCTAGTGTCTGTTTCATGGTGTCTATTTTAAGTTATAATTAATAACAAAAAATAAAATGCTAAACAAAAAATGTACCATCACTTTGTGGTAGCTGAGCATCACGCTGTCAGCACAGATCCTCCAGTTGTCATTTTCAGTGAGGTTGGCCACAACGATCTGCACTCTGGCAGTTTGTCTGTCATAGTAAGCAGCGAACTGATATCCCTGGTTGTTGTTGTCTTGTCTAATGGCACGGACAAGGACTGTGACCTGTGGACGGACGGTGTTGGACAGGTATCTGGCCTGCAAGCACAAAGAAGACATATTGATTGTTTTTGTTTTGTCTTTCTTTACTCATACTCATGGATGCACAAGGCTACAATAATCTTTGTAACTTGCCTTGTTGTAGATGGATTCAAAGCTGCTAGCGCTGCTCTTGCTTGTCAGACGGTCTGCTGAGATAGAATGCTGCAAAGAAAAAAATATTTACTAGCTCAGAAAGACTGCAAGGCGGTTTACAGTTTAAATTAGCTTGGGGGAGTATTTGAAGGCAATTTCCTTTAGCGTCAAAGTGAGTAAAGATACTTCTAAAAGATCAAAATAATGTCACCTGGTGGGTGTGATCCTTGGTGAAGTTCAGTTCATGCAGTTCCTGTTGTAATAGAAAAGCAGGTGAATAAAATTGTCCTTATTGCTGTCTCCAAAACAACACTGCAGTTTTCATTACTGTTTAAGTTGCATTGTGAAATTGCCTCACCCTGGACATGGAGCTGGAGGAGCTGGAGCTGCTGGAGGAGCTCCTTGATTTTTTGTTAAGCGGGTCAGCAAGATCCAGCGTCTTGCTTTTGCGTCTCGAAAAGGAGGAGCTGGAAGAAGAACTGCTAGAACTTGAGCTGCTTGAGCTCAAGCTGCTTGAACTAGAGCTGCTGGAGCTGGAGGATGAAGACTTTGAGCTGTTCTTCAGATCGGGAACCAAAATCTTCTTCAGCTTCATCAGGACGTTTTTGTCCTCAAGGATCTTGTCCTCCTCACTCAGGTTAATTGCTTTAAGGATCTTTTCTGCTGCCTTTTCACCAATCTGAACCTCAATTTCAATCCTTTCGACGGCTGGTCCAGCAGCTGAAATAAAAATAAATGAAACAGATTGGTTTTTGACCCTTTTAAAAGGCTTCATTTAAGAACATCAGAGCATTTGTTTCACTTGCCTGGGGTGACATTAACCATAAGAGTATGCCTTCCAATTATGGCGTAGATGGGGGTGTTTCTGAGGAAGGTCGCTTTGCAAGACCTAATATCAACGCAGGCCTGTACTCCGAATGTGTATGTGGTAGCACACATTTCCTTCTTCACAATTGGTTTGCGGATTTTCATGTCTCTGACACTTTCACTTTGACGATTCAGAAGAAGAAATTCTTCAGAATTTGACTGTAAAAAAAAGAAAAAGAGAAACAGCAAGTAACCCAAATCATAGGGAGGGTTAAAAAAATGGTTAGGAGGTTTGATCATTCGTACAGACTTACTTCACTATTCACGATCTGTGGAAGACTTAAGATGGGGTTCTTGCTCTTGAAATTGTCTAACTGGAAAACTGGTGTGATCTTGGCGTCTGCAAGGTCTTCCACATCTCTTGCAATGGCAACTGTTTCAAGACTTTTATAGAGGAAGTGGGAAAAAAACCCCAAAACATTTAATACAAATAAGAAAGGGGATTGATTTGGTGATTCCAGAGAATTTAAAAATGTACATACTGAGCAGATACGATTGTTTTCACACCCTCAACAGGCAGGATCCGATAGTTAAAGTAACCATTTTCTATGTCAAATCTCGCCTCCATCTTTTTAGGAATAATTGTGTGGACTTTGGCTCTTGACATCACCGTAGCCTGAATGATAGGACTATTTACTCCCATAACAGCATAGGTGTGCAAAGACACACTGAAATAGAAAGACATACAGAAATATTAAAACAAAACTGCTATAAGCAGGTTATCCTCTAGATGTTTGTTTTCAGGACAGGTGGTTCACCTCGGAGCGACTGAAGCCTTTAGGGAAACATTAGACCGCAAGAGTTGGACAGGATGGAAGTCCTCACGAGGTGGTGGAGAAATGGTGGCTTGTACTAGAGAAAATAGTTTAAAATAGTTGCTTTTTAGTGTAATTATTCATCTCAAACCCTCAGTTGTTGAAGTGTAACACTGAAACTTACCCTCAACAGATGCAGCTGTCACAGCAGCAGTGTAGAGACTGAGCTCCATGGGTAAACCAAGAGAGCTGGGGAAGATGCGACGGACCTCAATAGCCAGCATTGGCTTGGAGTATTTCAGAGAGTAACCAGACATTAGAGCGTCTAAAGCCTTTTTGCCATAAGTGCGAATCTCAGGTCGGCGTGCAGACTGTTAAAAATAAAATCCTTATCAGACTAAGGTTTTTATTTGAACGTAATATTGAAGGCATGCATTTCCACATTTCTGTGGAACACTACCTCAATGATCTTTTCAACCATTTCTTTGTCAATGTTTGCAAATGCGACTTCCTGTCCAAGAACTTTCACGTACAGAGAGCCAAGGGGCTGGCGGGAAGGATTGGCCCTCCACTCAATTAGCTGTAACAGGAAGAAAATTGTTTATTATTACATTATTTATTTTTTTTAAATGGAAGTATGAAAAACCTTCTCGCAGGTAAATGTCTTATACACCTACAGCCTGGAGAGCTTGCTTGATCTTGGTGATCCTGTCTGCATCCTGTGCAACATCACGGACTTTCAAAAGGGCCTCCTGTACACCCTCAGATCTGGCTCCGAACTGTAAAAATGTAGCATCGAAAAAGCTTTTTAATTTGTAACCAGTTCTCAAATGAATCTTTTTCAACAAGTTAATATTAAAAGGTGTGACTCATTCTTAAGCACAAAGATCATTTCTGTTGCCTAAACTGAATCCCTATGGTTTTAACGACACGTCTAAAACATGATCATCATACCTCCAGAACATCAACAAACACTCCAGACATGTAAACTCGAGCTTTTGCCATGACGTTTCTTGGCAACACTGTTGCAGCATCATTGATAAAATGCACGCTGGCAGCAGCTCCCATCATCCAAGGATCTGCAGGTTAAAAAAGCATTTTGATATTCGTTAGTAAGTGAAATCTCTTGAGAGAACATTATTTTTCTGGTAGACGCTTACTGTAATAGTGGTCATAATAGAAAGCTCGACTGTAGCGGTAGCTCAGTCTCTCTAACCTAGGGCTGAGCATCCTGACGGCAACATTGCATGCAGCAGCTCTGTAGAGAGAACAAATACCTGTAATTCTTCGTTCCGGTTTATTGCTCCAACGTATTAACGAGATAGTGCAACAGGGTTCTTACGCAGAGGAATAGTCAGGGGTGGTGGTCCTGGTGAAAGCCTTCATGTAAGAGTAGACAAAGCTAGCAACCTGCAGGTTTGGTTCATTGAGGAGTCTCTGAGCTAGAGTGGTCACCAGAGACAAGGGTAGCTTGGTTTCAAACAGCGCAAGAGCAGCAATTATGCGGATCTCTGGGTCAATAGCCCTGTCCATGAAGAGCTCAACAGCAAAGTCCTGAATCTAAACAAAAAAAGGGATAATTGTCTTAATATGTCTGAACAGTATGTTTAAACCTTAGGAATAGTTTTATCAGACAGGGTGGTCAGAAGGTTTGCCTCACCATCCTCGGTTCTCTCTTTGCAATTTTTCTCATTGCCATAGCGGCATCAACATGAACTCTGTGCTGAAGACTGGAGGCAGAGCTGCCAAAACCAGGCAGCAGCTTCATGATCGGCTTCAGGCTGCTGGGATGTCCTGCGTTACCCACAACTTTGAGAGCCAGGGAGAGCTCATTATTGTCACGTCTCTCAAGAGCACTGGCAATAATGTCATGGATAGGCTGCAGGATAAACAAACAACAACAAAAAAAACAATAGAAGTTATTGATCTTGCAACTGAATGGTGGTTTTGAAAATATGCAGACAATACATACCCTGAGAAGCTCAGATTGACATCCTACGTGCTCCGTACAATATTTGTGAATCATGCTGCCATAGCCCAGCATGGTGATCTCCCGCAAAGCAGCATTTTCTTGAATCTTAGGGGTATTGGCCAAGGCCTAGAATGGTGAAACATCAAAACTGGTGTCATATATGACTGGTTCTGTGCCACTAGAAATAAACATGAAACATTTAAACATCAGCTTACCTCCATAAGCTTGATGGACTCCAGGTCAGCTGTCACCAAGTGTGTGGATGACATAATGGCCTGAGCAGCTTCATCAGCGGTCACTTCACCAGCAGCGACCTTCTCTTTGATGAACTTAAGAGCAACATGTGTACCAATGGCAGGGATGGAGCTCAGCATCCAGTGCCTTAGGAAAGATTTGCTTCAGTAAAATTGTCTTTAAGAATGTTTGCCTTTTAATTCTCTAAGTGAAAGTGGCTTTACCTGTGATCGCTTTTGGATTTGAATTGCGTCCAGAGAGCTTCAATGCTTTCATATCTGGCCACACGCAGGAGGTGGATGAGCTCAATGAACTTCAGGGGAGAATCTTCATGGGCCTTGCCCAAATTGAGGCTCACAAGGTTGTTCAGAGTCTCAACAATCTATAAAACAATCCCCCAAAAATGCTTTTCAAGTACAAAATTGAATCAATAAAAACAGAACGTCAATAAGAACTTCCCGAGGTACCTGAGCCTCAGCATTGGTGATCCTCAGAAGCTGAATTGGTGTCTGGAGGAGTTCAGCACCTAACTCGTACTTCAGTGATCCACGGTGAACATAGTCAGCTTTGATGGGCTCTAATAGGGTCTTCTTGACATCAACTAAGGCCACAGTCTGCCTGTGAAAGTAGATTAACATCAGCTCAATCAGCTGCCTAAAATTTAACAGACAGAGATGAGCCACATCATAATTTAAAGCACATACTTAGCCTCCATCTGGACAGCTCCGTTCACAATGTTGAAAGGGGAGTATTGGATGAGCTCAGTCGCATTGGCCTCTTCGATCAAGGAACCATAGACTGAGGGCTTTATGACGTAGCTTAGAGACATTGCTCCTTCAAACATTTTCCCCCGCTGTAGTGACATAATACACAAAATCAACAATCAAACAGATTAAATTGCTCAACACAGACTATGGCGGATAAGAGGAAACTGTACTCACAGTCACACACTCTTCACATTTGACTGCATAACCAGCCATGCCAACATCCCTGTTGATTTTTTGTGAGCACTGATTCAAGTCTGTGGTCTTCATCAAATGAAGGCGTTCAGCCTTTGGATCCTCACGAAGGACATAGGATGTCCTGCACACACCTTTTACTCCAGTCTAATTTAAAGAAAATAAAAGTAAGAAAACATTACAGGTGGATCACCATTTGCCTGAATAGACCTATCGAAAGCGAGCATTGAGTACCTCTTGCAGGTCATACACATTCAGAATCTTCTTGATGTTGACCTGAAAGATGTTGAGGATTCCCCTGATGATATTCAGCACAGTTGTAGAGACGCCCACCGGGGCATACACTTTACGGATCACACCGTTGGTATACTCAAACTTGATGGGTGTCAAGAGCTGAGCAGAGAGAGCTGAGGTGAGCTTTGTGGCAGGGTGGAAAACCTCTTTGGGCCAGATACCACTGTACTCTGAGATCACAGGGTCTTCAAGCTGAAAGAACAAGCAACATATTAGGCAGAACGCAAGCCAGCATGGGTATTGGTTGATACGTTTGTACAGTTTATTTTTTGTGACGATAACGCAATATTATTTCTGAAACAATCTTTACTTTCAGAATGTAGCTGCTTTGATTTTCTGCACCGATCAAAACTTTGCTCTGGATTTTCACCCCAGCCCTCGCCAGGCCCTCCTCAGGCAGCCCTCCCAGAAGATATCCTTCATATTTGTACTCGTATGTCTTTCCAACTGCAAATTCTGGGACTATAACAGAAAGCAAAAATCACCCATATCTTCAAAAAATATATAGATTTGCTGTTTTTCTTATTTTTAGTATTGTCAGAAAACAACTTACCATAGTTAACCTGGGTGCTGGCTGAAAAACATTAGAAAAATAAAATAAATTAGAGTTGTGATTTTTTTTTTGTATTATTATTATTTGTTTGTTTTTGAGGAGAGATGATATTTAAAATTATTTAAGAATGCACTTCTATTGAAACTGGTGTTTTAAAATAATACCAATTTGGAGGAACGTTATTACCATATATTGTTAAAAGAAAAGGGGTAGGACCAAAAAAAGTTTCTGCTCATCTCCTCTTCAAATAGTTACCTAACTATGTGTCATGATGTTTGAAAGTGAAAATTTAGTTTGTATGAACTAAACTAAAATTTTAGTTCATACAGCAACACTCACCCACAAAGGCCACAGTCAGAGCCAGCACAATCACCTTCATGGTTGGTGGCTGTGAATGTCTAGGCAAGGCTTTCCTTTTAAAGCCAAGGTTTGCAGACATTGTTTTCGAAAATGAAACATTAACTAAATGTTGGCTGTCATTTCTCTCGGTGGTTACTGTGCCCTGATCATGTCGACAAGGCTGAGTAAATACGGTAATCAGAAAATGTCTGAACTTATTTGAAATCCTGTCAGTGTCTGACCTTTTAAACAAAATAAATATAATATCATTTCTGGGTTTCACTCTACTCTGGAGTAGAGTTACCTAAATTACGGCCTCATTAGAAATGTCCATTCTTCCTTCCTCTTCTGGGGTCGGGAGGGGTGCTGGCGCCTACCTCCAGGTAACGCTTCGGGTGAGAGGCAGGGTTCACTCTGGACGGGTCACCAGTCTGTCGCAGCAGTAGAAATGTGTTCAAGGTTTTTATTTGTCATATTGGTAGGCATAACAAAACATATTTAAAGTAATAAATATATGTTTACCTCAAAAAGTACTTCTACATGTGTTTAAAGACAATAAATATTAAGATTTGTGCAGAGCAGCTTGATCCCACCTGTTGACTGATTCATGTGTCATAATGTCCTGACCCGACAATACTTTCACAATGACAGGATTGCGAAATTATTTGCTTTCTACCTGGAATTGAAAATGTTTGCATAACCTTCATCAGTGGTTCTCCTTAACAAACTGTTTACGGAATATCAAACAGAGGATGTATGACAGTACTTGTAGGTAAACTCCACAAAAATATAAACCCTAATGATTTGTCCAAAGAGAAAGATATCTGAAATCAAGCAGTACGTTGGTGTTTTTGGCTTCTCTGTTCTGTCTCAGATATGTTGGTGTTATTATCTTTGATTTGCATAGTTTCACTAATTCAAGATCGACTTCCACTTTTATAAAAACACTGTCTATGTGCATACTCTTGAAAGGTTTTTTAGGCTTTATTGTCATTTATTCATCAAAAGCTGGACAGGATGTAGGGCAGAGAAATGAGTAAAGCAGCAAAAAGCAGTCAGATGAAAATTGAATACAGAAAAGCTATGTCAAAAATTGTAGACTCAGCATGCCGAACCAACCCAATATAAACATATTACAAGAAAGAAATGTTCAATTTATTTAAATTTTTGATATATATTTCTGTTTTAAACGTCTTCATTGAGAGCAAAGCAGAAAAGAAGTCAAATTCCTTGTTTTCAGCTAAGGAATATTTAGCACAAACCTGGTAAAAAAAAAAAAGCTACATCTGATTTGAATTCTGCTTTGTCCTTTTGGTGTCATTCTCAAACAAATAATTGAAACCTATTTTTTCAGCTAAGGAATATATCTGAATGTCAAAATCTGGTGTCAAAACTTGAAGAAGAGGTTACTAGATATGCTTCTTTTTCCATTCACTATATTCTAAGTTTTTTTTTTTTCCTTTTTATGAGTTTATTTTCTTTCTCCACAAGATTTCCAGAGATTTTAGACTGAACACTGGATGTTGTCATTTTTTACTTGTTGTCTTATGGAGTAAGTATATTACTTAAACAATATCGTGATAACGTAGGACTTAAGGCTAATTACTTGAAAAATTACTCCTCTTCATAAAATCTTAGCAAGAGCAAAACCTTACTATTGCACAAACCCTTTTTTCTCAGATCACTCTGTGTTGTGACACTGAGAATGAGAATCTCTGCACAAAACTGTCCTCTGCTTGTGATCAGAAGGATTTCCAATTCCTTGGATTTTGATTTCGCACTTTTCTATGAAAAGACACAGCCATCTAGTTAATTGGATAAGTCAATAGGTTGATATCTGGAATTCAAACAAATGTAAATTTGCATTTTGTCAGTGTTACTGATTAAACATGGGTCAAAAGTCGTGGGTCAACATGATCTGGGGATAGCAAAAGAGTTGGTCAATAACATATGAGATTTCTGATAAATAATTAAAAAAATAATTTAAAATGTCTCTTTGGAGCTTGTGTAAAATAATCAACTTCAAATAACAGGCCTATGAAAGTTTATTATTCTCCCTCACTACTGATTACCCTTACTTTTCCATTCATGCATAGTCTATGCAGCTTATGCTTGCAGGGTCACGGGGGGCTCATGCCTATCTCCAGTGGTCATTGAGTTAGAAGCAGTGGACACGTTGGACAAATCACACAGGTCAAACAACTCTCTCACACCTAAGGACAATTTCATGTCATGTTTTTGGACTCTGTACAGGGAAAACATGCAGAAAATCCCCAGCTGGGATTTGCTACCAACTGTACCGCTTTGAGACTATGCTTTTAAAAATACTTACAAATATCCACCGTCAAACTTTTATTTAATGGAAGAAGAGAAGTGCGACTATGTTATATTACAATTTAACATTTCATTGCATTCTGGTGTCTGCATGTGGTAAATACACCAAACTATAAGGGAGGAAGTTGCTGAACCTTCACTTGAAAATTTCATGCAATAAACCTAAATTGTCAAACCATATTTCACTGAGTATTTCACATGGATATGTATATTTCTTGTGAAATACACAATATAACTTAATGTTATATTGATTATTCAACAAATCTAAATTCCCATAAGATGAAGCAGTACTTTTTAAAGTAAACATGCTTATTGTAGACATTAAAATACCTTTTTATGATACAATTAGTCAGGTAATTTGCTCACGTCGCTTAACAGACATGCCACTTACAGCTTGTTTGCTGAAATTTTAAAACAATTTAACCATAACAGCCAAACATGTCCTCTTCTTTTTGCTATCAAAAGAGTTTAAGGCTTATTTCAGCCAGCTGACTAGCAGTGTGAAGCAACAGGTGAGTGAGGAACAGTGCTGTGTACCTCTCTGCTGCATACAGCAAGAGAAAAGAAGCAGGTTATGTGTTGCATTTGCAGTATTTTGCTTTATCCTGGTCATTGACTTGCTGCTTATTCATTATGTGAAAATTGAATAACAAAGCCCACACACCGATCCAGATGTGATAATCACTCTCTCAAATAATCATTGATAGTTAATGTATGATTAGTGAACACATCGATGTCAATCACGATGCGCAATTGACATTTTATCGACAGGACGAGTTTTGTCCCATCTCGTACTCCGTACAAAAGCTCACGTGATCAGCGAGCTGCGCCACAAGCTGCAGCAGTTTCGCTTTGGACCAGCACAATGTTGCCATTCGCCGTGTTTCTGTGGGTTCTGTCGGCAGCGAGCGGCTCCGGCGTGTGTCCGTGTGACAGGCCGGAGCTCTGCCAGCCAATCCGGGGAGAGAGAGAGTTTGAGGTAACGCTGTCGGCGGACTCTGTCACATAAAACAAACACACCTCATCACTCACGTCAGACTGCTCTCTAGTTAATAACACTATTGCTAAATTGTCTGTCGGTTTTGCACGGAAGCAAAAAGCTGCAGGTTGTGATGCTCACATTAATAAAACACGACTTTATGCTGCAGCTTGGATCAAACACAGTGACCTGGGGAGCAAACAGCATCCTCTCATGAGAAAAGTTGACAGATTAGTTGCTGAAGTTGTCTTTTATTTTTTATTTATTTATCAGATGTGTGAAGTTCCTCTTTTTAAACATCCGTCTTCCTGCATCGCAGCAAACATTGGCTCAATAATGGGAGCTGTTCAGCATGCATCAGTGAACACACTGAGAGGTTTAACTCAGCTTTTATCTCACTATGTAGATTCTGTTCAGTGTTTTTCAGGGTTATGTTAAAATGTAAGAATTTGCCAAGTTTTTTTTGTGCCATTGTCTCTTTCATTCTTGTTTCCGCTCACTGCAAAAATATTTACCATAAAATCTGGTGAATCTTTGTTTTTCCTCGTATTCTAATAAAGAATTGTGAATTCAAGAAATATAAGGGAAGGAACTTTGTTTTTTTACATTTAAAATGTCAGAAACCTCTTAAATGATTTAGTTTTGACTCTTTAAGAACAGATCTGTGTGCACAAGCACAAATATGAACAAATTTTGAAAATAAACATTAAAAAAGGAAGAGCTAATAACACAAAACTTAAAAACATTAGTTTTCCATCTAAAAAACACTAAAATTAGATAAAAATGTTAAAAAAGATGCATTTTTAATGCAGAATTTTCTTCCATAAGAGGCTTTTGACAGTTTGATTTTTTTTCTCCCTGTGGTTGTAATATTTTGTTATAGTAATAGTATGTTATGTTTTACATTCATTTGATGTTTTTGGAGTTTTGTTGTGAATTGACACTACCTTAATAAATTGCATTGCATTGTATTATATTTTCAAGAAACTGCATTTGGTTTTGCTCTCATTAGTTTTTTGTTTGTTGATCGTAATTGTCAGCATAACTGCTTTTGCTTTTAGGTGTTTGTGTTTGACGTGGGGGGAAAGACGTGGAAATCCTACAACTGGAGTATGGTGACGACAGTGGCCGCCTTTGGGACCTATGATGCTGAGCTAATGTGTTTCGCTCACTCAAAAGGAGCACGAGTTGTCCTCAAAGGTAAGTGAGTTTACACCCCTTCGCCTTAATAGTCTGCAAAAGTTCATGTCTGTATTCATTGTTTCAGAGCAGTTTTTTTTCTTCCTATCTACAAATATCTTTTGATATTTGCTTTTTGACATGAGTCTTTATCTTTGTGGTGGCGGCACAATAGGTGATGTTCATATTCCCTACATTGTGGACCAGGGCAACAGGACCAGATGGATAACGGAGCAGGTCAGTTTGGCCAAGAAGCAGTTCATGGACGGGATTAACATTGACGTTGAGCAAGCAGTGGAGGACGGCTCTCCAGAGTACTACGCTCTGACAGCACTGGTCAACGAGACGACAGAGGCCTTCCACAGCGAAATCCCAGGCTCTCAGGTCAAACAGCGATGATTCACCAATGTCTGGTGAAACATTTTCATTTCTATTTCCATGGAAAATGGCCAGCTTACCCCTACCATTTCTTTTTTTTTTTCTCCAATTTTTAGGTTTCATTTGATGTCGCCTGGTCGCCAAAATGTATCGACAAGCGCTGCTATGATTACATCGCCATCGCCAAATCCTGTGACCTGGTGTTTGTGATGTCCTACGATGAGCAGAGCCAGATCACTGGAGACTGCATTGCAATGGCAAATGCCCCATTCAACCAAACTCTAAAAGGTCTCGATGTCCAGATGCACTTTTAGGATTAAGCTTGTTAATGCGAACCAATGGAAATCATTTTTATCTGTCCATTTTAGCCTATGATGACTATTTGGATCTGAAGATTGATTCAAAAAAGCTGCTGATGGGAGTGCCATGGTACGGCTATGACTATCCATGTGTTAAGCTTTCTCAGGTACAGCAATATTTAATGACAAGTTTCACACTTCTGATAACACTGCATATCATCCTGAAAATATAATCCTAACACTGAAACATGATGGAAGCATGGTCAATAGATGTCAATAAAATCTATTGAAATTTGTCATTTTATCATGAAAAAAGTGAAAAAGGGTATACTGTCTGAATATTTTTGCAAGCAAATTTTTGTCCAACTGATTTATTTTGGCATTTTAATTTACTGACAAGAGCCCACAGCCTGATGATGCGGCCTATAATAGTCACTTTAGGCACAATAAATAAATGTGTCTCTGGTCACATATCAAGACAAATCTCTCCAGATGAAAGAAATCTAATACATTTTGAAGAAGAGCTGATCAACAATTTCTTATATTAGAAGCTAAATGTATGGTTCGGATATTTTATGATTTGTGGAATATACACATGACAAAACTAATCTAGGTTATTATTTTTCATTAAATGTTCAGAATATTTTAAAGAAAAGCCAGAGGAAAAGAAACATACATTCAAAATGGGAAAATTGTTGGAAGCCAGTGAGGAAATTGTATATCCAGGTTTTTTTAAATGGAATACCTTACCCTACGCTGCCACCATGTGGCAGACCGCCTGCGATTACATGGTCACACAATTCTGCTTACAATTCTGTTTTCATTCACCATACTTTACTTCAAAGATAAATCAATAATAATTGTATTTATCATAAGAGAGATCAGTCTGTTTACACCAGCACATACATTTCAAACTAATAGTTTACGGATCTGTTCTAAGTCTCAGTAGGAACATTTTCTGGTAATGATCAACAAATTATGGTGAGGATTATCAGGCGAGAAATATTTCATAATACTGCGACGTGCTTTTAAAGCTGCCTTCAGTTAGTAACAAAAAATAAAGTATTTTATCCAATCTTGATCTAAAATTTCACAGTACTGGCTCAGTATAATCTGATATTTTTTTCTTGAAAGTTTTAGATGAATTTTTTTTGTAAGTGATTTTATTTAAAATTCCCATTGAAATCCAAAGTGCATTACACATTAAATAAATTATTTGAGCACTATTAGTTTTCTTTTTATTAGTCAACAACTAACATTATCATTAGCCTATTAATATAGGACTTGCTCCCCTATATTAGGAGGCTTGACTTTCAATCATAGAACAAAAAGTCACAATATTTTTTCTTAAAAACTGCGGGTGACACGGGTTTTATTGTTTCCTTTTTTTGCATCATGGCAAATGCTGTGTAAAACCTGCCTATTAATGAAACAAAACAAAACGCTTGTTTTTCTTTTTCTGTTTTATCCCAGGAGGGGATTTGTTACATACCTAAAGTCCCGTTCTGTGGAGCTCCTTGCAGTGATGCAGCAGGAAAACAAAAAACATACAAATGGATCATGAAGCAACTCAACAGCCCAACATCGTCTGGCAGACTGTGGGATGATGAGCAAAAAGCTCCTTACTTCTATTACAAGGTGTCATTTTTTAAAAACCATGCTCCAAAAACAATGCATTTAAACAAACACACACAAAAAAGATTTTTTTTCTGCTTTATTCTTATTTTCTCTGCTTAATTCAGGATGAGACAGGACAGTCCCATCAGGTTTGGTACGATGACCCACAGAGTCTGTCCCCCAAAGCGGACTACGTTACGTCCAAAGGCCTGAGAGGCGTCGGCATGTGGAACGGCAACATCTTGGACTACAGCAACGATCCTTTAGCCAAGCAGCAGACCGCGCTGATGTGGAATGCCCTGTTAGGATCCAAAGTGGGATAAACCAAATGTTCCTGCAGGAGTTTCTTACTGAGCTGCAGAGCTCGATCTGGTTGGTTTCCAAACACCTTCTTTTGTAGTGAAAACTGGGCGTTGCCTCTATTCAACTTCAGGGATGCTTACTTGCACGTTACCTTTTACTTTGGACACAATCAATTATGATTCAGTAACAAAGACAATCATTTTAATCACATTTGCACTTAATTTTGATTACTATTCCAAGAACTGTGATCTTGTTTACTTTGTTCTTTAATAAAGCTTTTACTAATTGATCTAGTGGACTCCCTGGTGCTACATTATTGTAGAAAAAATGCAGTGCGGAAAGAACATCAAAAACAAAAGGAAAAATTGTGCTATCCACTTCATACAAGTATTAGTCGGCAGGTTAGTTGATGTTTAAAGGCTAGGAAGAGCAGTCCTCTTGACGTCAGTGAAGAAGCTGCTTTAAACTTGTGCTTTGTCCCATGTTGTGTTTCCAGTCCATCCAGGAAGGAGATGACTGATTCTTTTTTTGGGCAAGTTCGGTCTTCAGGTCTCTGAGCTCAGCAGCAGCCTGCGTCCTCAACTTGTAGGGAAAAAATAAAGAAAACATACTTTGTTTTACAGTCAACTCCAGATCTGCTAGGCTTTTGATCCAGAACATATCAGAAATAAACCCAACCAGCCACCTGTCTCATTGAGACTGGACTGATTGTTACCTTTGTCTCTGTTATCAGCTTCATCTTGGCATCTTCTACTTTCCTCTTCAGGTTGTCAACCTCATAGCTCTCCTTTATGATCTGAATGATGAGCTCATTCTGAAATATTGCTCTTGGGTTAATTTATTTACAGGGCACATTTCATTGTGATGAACAAAAATAATCTTTAAACACTGTTATGTTTAGTAGCATGCAGTAATCCACACATAAAAATGACAGGTTTAGTAAAATTACCTGTTTGAGTTTCAGCATTTTCTGGTTTAAAAATAAAAGCAGGAAGCATTTTTATAACTGTAGGTAACAATTACTTGATGGTGCTATAAAAAGGCATTATGTGTCTGGAAAATCACCCCTTTAAAACGTGTAACGTTTGTTCAGATTATATACTAAGCATTAACTTGCTTCTTAAATTTGTTAATAATTTATTAAATATTCCTTCAATTTTTATTCTTATCATTTTAATGGCCTGCACTTGTCCAGAGGGCCCTAAAGCACTTCACCCTTCATTCATTCATTTTCATGCTGATGGCTACTGGCTAGTGGCCAAGGCTGCCCTCTGAACACTGGCAGCAGGCACAATGACTGAGACTGACATAGTGCGGGTTTGAACCAGCAACCCTTGGATTAAAGTTGTCAATTTATTTGAATCTGTTCCTAATATGTGTGATAATGTCAACTATGTGGTGCAACAAGGCATATGGGATTTTACTGGACCTTCTCGGAGAACCTGCCCTGTCGCCTTGCTTTCTCTCTGGTTTGAAGCTGATGCAGAACTTTGTTGTGAAAAAGCTCCAGTTCCTGCCTCAAGTTTCTCAGATGCTCCTCCAACGGTGCTGTGGTCTTCTTGGTTTCAAAGTATTTCTTTTTCCAGCCGTCTCGTGCTTTATATTAGCGGATTAGGGAAAGAAATTGAACAGGTTTTTTTTTTTTTTGCACTCAGTCTGACTTTGTTTCCACTTAGATGTTGATATCCCACCTTGGTTCCTGCGGTGTCGGTTCTGAGCCAACAAGTCTTTTCCCTTCCTCAGAAGCTGCTGTCTCGTCCACTCCAGCTGCTTCCGCTCCGCTCTCACCGTTTTGATTTCCTCCATTAGTGCCTCTCCTTACAAGAAATATGTTCAATTACCAAGCAGAAGAATTTGGCTCAAACTCTCTGACCATTCCTTACTGTTGGAGAGCAAATCTAGCGAAGCAGAAGCTGCTTTATTGGAGGCGGAGTCTGGACCTCGGGGTGAAGCTGTGCACTGAACAGGTTGCGACAAGATGGCTGGCTCTTCCGACATCTAAAACACCAACAAATTCAGAGACGGTATGAATGCTGACTGAAACAGACATGCTTGTATATGTTTTTTAAAATTAGTCTCAACAGCTGCATGTTACCCCACTTGTTGGTTTATTTCTGGTGGTCTTCTCTCTGTCTGGACCTTTGCACTTAGAGTTCCCAACACTAAAACATAGAAGTACAGTCAAAAAATAAGAACCTCATGTATTTTTCTTCTGTAAAGAAAATGTATATTCCAAAGATGGCAGTTTGACAATATAGACTCAGCAACAGAGACCTTAATTTTGGGAACATTTCTTGTGGTCTGACAAAACTAAAATTGAAGCGTTTGGTGATAATGACCACTGTTTCGTTTGGAGGGGGGGGAAAATGGAGTCTTCCAAGTGTAACATATGGTACCTGTCTGTCAGCAAAAAGCCTAAACTGTGGTCTTCCAGAGACTCAGCTGCAGCTGAACGTGTGTCTTCGGGTTGATATATTGTCTTTCTGCAGCTCTCCTCTGATTCTGCTGACCAAACTGCTTGGGCTGAATTAGCTTCACACATCTCCAACACTGTAGACATACAAAAATACAAAATGTTTTATTTTCTCGAAAGAATGTCATTTTGTTAATGAGATTAAAAAAAGCAAAAGACCCTATTAGTTGATTATAAAATTAAGTATTGTATGCAACCTGACATAAAAAAATGCTACAGATGACATTATATTAGATTATGCTAAGCTATTTGTCACACTTCTGTACATGTAGCTTCTCATGGAGGAAAGTATCACATTTATACAATTATCACATTCATATAATCAATACAGTTATCATGTTATGACATTGTAGTGATCCAAAATTTATTTTCCTCCATAACAGCAATACTTGTCAGTACTTTCTCAGCAAAAAAAATCTTAAATAATTAAAAAGCTGATGTATGTACGGACAGATCTAATTATTTGATAACTCTTTTAAACAGAATACAGCTGTATAAACTCTTGTTGACAATATGCTATGAATGACTGCTTTAATACCTTTTCTGAGTGCTATCAGCTTCAGGACCCTTTGATTCTGAGGTTTCCCTGCACAGATCTCCGGCTCTGGTCTCCTGATGAAGCCTGGAGCTTCATCCTCTGAGGAGGAGCTGCTGCAGCTGCTTTCCTCTTCTTCATCCTCATGTTCCTCTTCCAGCACAGAGACAGGATCTGGTTGCTGGGAACACTGGGGGATGTGGGGCAATTTAATGGCCTTCTTTGTCCCTGTTGCCACGCTGCACATCTTGGAAGGGTGGAAACAGATCTGGTGCTCTGAGGAGCTGCTGCTGGAATCCATGGTGAAGGACTGAGAGCAGAAAGTGTTGTCTGCCTCTGCTGTGGGCAGAAGGTACAGCTCCGGCTGAGCCGCCTGCCGACAGGTTACAACGGCTCATTTCAGGGACAGAGCAAGCGCACTTGTTTAAAGTAAGAAACCAATAAACTTATCAGGACGCATGGACTCAACGTACATACGGTGGGGCGAATGTTTTCACTTTCAGATTTGCCTCCTGTTTGCCTTTGACCTGTAAAAGACAAGAACTACAGTGTGAGAAGCGCAGCAGTAAAGCTGCTATGCTCCCCATTCACAGCCTTTACAGCCTTCAGTGTATTCAGCCTGAATAGGGCACTGTCTGCACAGTGAAACCATCAGCCCTACAAAAGGCCTCTTAACTGTCAGCTGCACTCACCAGCGCCAGACTGCGGCCCACGCATTTCAGGAAGGAGAATTTATGGATGCTCCTCTCAGTGCCAAGCAGAGCGGCCAGCTCACCCCTCAGAGTCTGCAGGGTGGTTTCAGGATAAACCCTAATGTCACCAGGAATGAGGACACAATATGTGCACCAGTCAGGGGTTTAGTGAAACTGTCAAATCATGGCGAAGTTGAATGAATGTTTGAGCAGTTTTACATAGGCCAATATTGACTGTTTAATAGTTAATAATAAAAACTATTATATCCATGGCAACACCAAACTGAGGTCCAACGTTTTGTTGCATTGTATTATTCTTTTCATAAAGATCAACTTAACAATAATAAAAATATTTTATTTTAAAATAGGGTCAATCTTACACTCCTTAACAACATATTTTTTGTTTTTTTCTCATTTTCAAGTTATCAGAAAATAGATATTTAATTACCTTAAATCTTTTTTCCACTAACTGAACTTTACATATGAAATAAATGTAGCATACTGAACATCTGAAATGCATGTGGAAGATTGTTGCTTTTAATAATTATTATTTCTGTAATTAACAGCAGTATAAAGGCATTCAAATCGCTCGATGTTTTTTTCCCTTTTTTCTAATTAAAACTTCAATATATTTTACTAAAATTTATGGTGAATCCACATCACTATAATAGAGCAAAATCCCACCAAATGCCTTAAAACTTGTTGTTCTGTTATAAAATATGACAGTTCAATAACTACTTCTGCCAGGAGCTACATGGCTTCAATTATCACACAAACCGTTCTCAATTGAATGATAACAGAGATCAAATATTTCAAGCACTTTTACCTGATGAAGCCAGCAGAAACAAAGCCCTCTGTGGCTTCAGCTGGGACCTTGTTGAGTTTCATGTCCCACTGATCAGCTGGCACAAACAGCACATGGAGCTCCAAAAGCTACACATAACACAAATGACATTAACAGTGACGTTTACAGCCCCTGACACCTGCTTGCTTACTTAATACATTTCTATGTCATGTCAAGAGATTTGGCATTTACCTTCCTGCTGGCCGGCCTCATGCTGTCCTCTGTAAATCTCACTGACTCACACGTCTGCTCCATTGTCAGGCTGGTCCAGAGAACGGAATGCAGTAAAATACTCAACTATAGAAATGTGGGAGTTTTTGCTGCGAAAGAGTTGTGCTTGCGTGCGCTGTGACTGCTCCAGACTGCCAGGAAACAACCTGCTGCAGTTAAACACACCCAGCCATCCAACTGTGCTGCTTTTACGAGAGTCATCTGTCATCCAGCCCTTGATGCTCTGAATGACAGAGCAGCATGTGGGGAAAAAAACAACAACAAACTTTCTCAACATATAAGATGGAAGAATTGCCTTGATGTTCAAATGATACAATTTTGTTATGGTTTTTATTTAATCCTTGCACTTTTGAATCAGTAAATACATCTTCACCAGTAGCCACCTAGTGGAAAAGATGGGTGGTGAAGCCCATCACTAGGGGGCTCTATTTTTTTATTTTTGGAATTCGAACATTTAATTGCTGTGGGGTTGAACATTACTATTCAAAGTGTTTCTTATAAAACTTTCAAATATGAATCGTTGGCATTACTGCTACTTGTAATTAATAGACCCTTTTCACGCTTCCCTCGACAATATTGGACACTGCAGGCATGCAGGAGTAAAGCACAGTCTCAACATCAAGCGTCATCTAGTCTAGCATGCTGTTTTTCACAAACTGTACTGGCAAATACATTTCAGAACGTAATCAGAATATAATTGAAAAGTTTAGATTATGTTTGTCTCCAATATTCCACGTAATTTAGCAAACTAAGTTAAGCTTCATTACGATGTTTGTGTAGTTCATATATTGTAGCTAGCGGTTACCTCGCTAAGCTACGTCTATTCTTACCTTGATAGCGGTGGATATATTTTTCGTGGAAGAACTTGTATCCTTTCATACGTTTGTTGGTGGATGAATCAGCCGCTGCGATTTCCTCCGCATCAGCGAAAGAAAGGGCTGGCAAATTAAGTAAGGACGATGAAAAGTACCGGAGAAGGAGAGCCATTTTCAGAGTAGTTGAATTACAGTCACCAAAACAGGAAGTGCTGCAGCACTATCAGATACAGCTTCCGATTGCCGTGAAAAGCTCAGGCCCCCGCCCCGCCCCACGGGACCGGGCAGTTGTGCGCATGCGCGGGACCGGGGCGGTAATGCGCATGCGCGGGCGATCCGAAGAGATTAAAGGTCCGGAGTTTTGCATAAAGACGGGGAGCACTTTCGTATGTAGCCGCCACTTCACACCGGAGGATTTTGTTAGCGGATCCACCACCAGCCGCCTTAGAAGTGGAGCTGTTCCTTCCCTGTTTGCCTGGAATAACTTCACTGCACCGGCAATGAGAGAGTCTGCTTTCGAGAGGGCTAAGAAACGGCAGCTTGTCCTCTCAGAAACTAGCCAGGCTGAAGATGCTACTGCGGACCATGACTACACGGCACATCCACCCGCATGTATAAGATAGTATATTGTATATCTTTTCCATGTAAGAGAATTTCAGTAAAATATAACCGTTGCTATAATAATATTATTATTATTATGATCACATAATAATGAAATTATGAGATTATGTGGTTATGTATTTTGTGGAGAGATTAAGTCAATGGCTGTAAACATACATGCTTCGACTCACAACATGTATTGATCTTCACAGAAGTAATGTTTCAAATATATAATTAAAACTTATTGCTAAGCGTATGTTTTTCTATTTTATTTTGTGGTTTTACAGGTGCACATGATGAAGCTATGGATTATATCAAGGAGTTGGAGGCCAGACTTCAAAAAGTGGATTTGTCTGCCACACTTTTTAGCCGCTACTGTGCCTCTCATGTCCAGATCTAAATGTGTGTTCCGGATCTTCTGGGAGTCCATTGCTCCCTCTGCATCACGCCTGGTGTACTGGACCAGAGCACAGAAACTTGGAGAGGAAGCATGTGCTGAAGCCAGCCCTGCCCGCTGCATGCCTCTGATTGATGAGTTCCTGATGTTCTCATTCAGGGTAGCAGTGGGCATGAAGGAGCAGCTCATTGCTGACATGTTTCAAGTCAGCATAGCTACTGTCAGCCGAGTGACCATCAGCTGGGCCAACTACCTCTTCATTGTGTTCTCTTCCATCAACTTGTGGATTAGTCGTGAGAAGGTAAAAGCCAGTATGCCTCAGAAATTTCTGAAGTTCTCTCCAAATGTCCGTGTCATGTTGGACTGCACAGAAGTTGCTCTGGAAACGCCATCATCCCTCACCTTACAGTCTGAAACGTTCTCTGCCTACAAGAACCACACCACTCTGAAAGGGCTGATTGGAGTTGCTCCCTGTGGGTTGATGACATTTATTTCAGCGTTGTACACAGGCTGCATCTCCGACAAAGAAATAACGAAGGTCAGTGGAATCCTTCCTCTGCTTGAACTGGGAGATGAAGTCATGGCAGATAAAGACTTCCTCATTCAAAACCTCCTTCATGAAGTTGGAGCCAAACTCATCATTCCAACATTTAGGCATCCTGGTCAGTTCAGCAAGAAAGAGACAGAGGAGACCCAGACCATTGCTCGGCTGCGGATAATTGTAGAGCGAGCAATCGCTAGAGCAAAGTGCTACCACATCTGGGATTCCCCGGTGCCTCTTACTTTAATAGGAACTGTCAATCAAATCTGGCACAACTGTTGTGTTTTGGCAAATTATCAAAGCCCATTTTATGTTGCATACTAAATTATGTCTGTATGTTAATTTTTTAATGCTATGTAAAAAGTTAAATGTCTAGACTTTTGCAAAAAATATTCAATTACAACACACTTTGGCAGCATACTTGACTTTCTTTTTGTATTAAGTTGAATTGCAAGGAAAACAAATCAAGTACAATTTACAATATCTAGTAAATACAAAAAATCCATAACTATTTAATATTTTATTATTGTACACCATACATTGATTTAAAAAAATACTGAAGACAACCTCAAGGTGAAATTTTTAAAACATAAGTTTCAAGACAACTGCAGTTAAGAAAACAAATTTTTGTAAATTATTCAACTGCCTTTTAAAGACATTTGCACATCTCTGTATGTTTCATGAGTAACAACTATTTACAGTGATTCCCACAGCTTGAGATTGGATATTTGAAATGCAAAGGAACAAAAGGGTTACTTACACATTTTATAATTCTTATTGCATTGACATGAACACAACCTCAGACTCCACCAGCAGACCACGCTTCATGGCGGCAGTTTGTCTAGTGGAGCCCCGAATCATCCGAGATGCCAGTGCTGTGGCAGCAGACTCTCCTCTGCACTTCCTCTGCAAGCATCACGGAAACGGCTAGCAGTAAGTCTTGGTTGTCGAAGATGTACCCATGCAGGACATCTGGACTCCTCTCTTGTTCTGGCTTCTATTTCATAAGACATTTCCAGTGACACTTGCAGAATGAAGATGCATAAGTTGACCAAGTGTGGCACAATTACACACTTGTGGGCACATATTTGGAAGACTATGCAGCATCAAAGGAAGAGAAGGGAAGTCTGGAGCCATGTGGTGCAGAATGATGCTACCAGAGGACTGTTCAGGTGGGCACTGATAGACATTGGTGAGCCCTGTTGCACAGACCCAAATTTGGATGGAACCAGCTCCAAATGTGAAGACCATCTAGGACAAGAGCGATAAGTGGTTGGAACTTCAGCTGGCGTAGTTTTTCTCCTGATGCCAGAATGTCGGGATCTGGAAGTGGTCCTACAAATATCAGTGACATAATCATAATAAATTTTGACAAAGGAACATACGTGTAAAAACATAAACCAATGTTATACCTGTGTAAGCTCTGTAAAGTGTGGAGTGCAGATATCTTGTCCCCATAGTTTTGGGTTTCGCACCACCATGTTGCTGGCAGGTTCAGAATGTATACCCTTACAAGAAAGACACAGAAAGATATCAAAATAAAGAACAAATAAATGGATGAGTGAGCAGTTTGTTAGGACATAATGGGACTGATTTGGCACAGTTTAGATTTTTTACCCAACTTGCACATAAATTAATTGATAGCAGTTGAGCCTGTTTTTTTCCATTGCCTACAAAAAAGAAATATTCCAAACAAACTATGAGAGAATTATATTTGACACAATATTGAGATTACAACAAATTTTATATGGTGATTATATAATCACCATATAAAATCAAAGGAAATCACCTATATCAAAGGAACGTAAATGGCAGTGCCACACAATCAAGGAGGAATAAATTGTGTACATAATTATAGTACTGTTATTTTAAGACCATATGTGTATGACAGTATATGCAATGTATAATTTAGTATATCTAGTATATTTATATATCACATCCCATAGGACATAGTTCCACTCTTTTTTTCTTACCTGTGTTCTTGGTCTGTGCCATCTTTGTAAATCACTTGTGCAGGCCCAGTGCAGCAGGAACAGTTGCAGCTGGAGTTGGTAGTAGTGTGCAGTCTGCTAAAGAAGTGCAACTACATTATTGCAAAAACCAGTAATTCAGCCTTTTCTTTTCCAACACCCAGTGATATCTAAAACAGACAACTGTTTTAGTAACACATATATACATATAGCATGTTTAGCTTTGAACAATAGATTCTAGTTTGAAGCTTCAACAACAGCAGAAAAAACACAGACTGATTCAACCGCAACAAAAACAGAAAATAAATAGTTCCCTCTGAACAGGAAGATGTTAGAAAAAAGCTCTGAGTTGTCCAGAAGTCGTAGTGGAAGTTCTTCATCTGTCACATATGATCAGGAACTCGAACTACAGAACAAGAGCCAACCGGCTTTCTGACTGTTTCAAATCTGCAGCTTATGCCTTTCCTCATTTTTCTTCATGGATCTGAAGCATCTAGCTCTGACAACTACCTGTCCCTCGACAATATTGGACACTGCAGGCATGCAGGAGTAAAGCACAGTCTCAACATCAAGCGTCATCTAGTCTCTCATAACTAAGTCCTAGCATGCTGTTTTTCACAAACTGTACTGGCAAATACATTTCAGAACGTAATCAGAATATAATTGAAAAGTTTAAATTATGTTTGTCTCCAATATTCCACGTAATTTAGCAAACTAAGTTAAGCTTCATTACGATGTTTGTGTAGTTCATATATTGTAGCTAGCGGTTAGCTCGCTAAGCTACGTCTATTCTTACATTGATAGCGGTGGATATATTTTTCGTGGAAGAACTTGTATCCTTTCATACGTTTGTTGGTGGATGAATTAGCCGCTGAGATTTCCTCCGCATCAGCGAAAGAAAGGGCTGGCAAATTAAGTAAGGACGATGAAAAGTACCGGAGAAGGAGAGCCATTTTCAGAGTAGTTGAATTACAGTCACCAAAACAGGAAGTGCCGCAGCACTATCAGATACAACTTCCGATTGCCGTGAAAAAGGTCTATTGCAGATTTATAGCAGATCTTATGTTAAGTAACGCTAGTGATTTTGTGCAATGTAGCAAAACTAGTTCTACTGATATGCAATTTACAGAGATCTTAGACATAAAGCATGACTAATTTTATTCCCCTCATATTCGTTAAAAAACCAAAACTGCCAAACATGGAACACACAAAGAATATATGTTTAACGTAAAAGCACGAGATAAGTAGTGCAGTGAAAACATCTGAAAGTGTCCCTTATTTCCAGACGACACGTGAATGCAGCACTAGCGGGCACGCCTTTAAAAAAAAAAAAGAAAAACCGGAAGCTTATTCCTTGGAAGAAGAAAAAAGTTAGCTTGGTAGCTACTGGCGTCGACTAGCTTGTGTAAACTTTTCCCACACTTATTATTCTGAATATCGTAGCCATTCCAGGTCGCAGTTATGCCGGGACCATCCAACATTGTCGCCATGAAGAAAGTTGTTAAACAGTTGCGCTTTGAAGCGGGTATAAACAGAGTTAAGGTAAGTTTTATACATTTAGTCGCTCTTAGGGCGTGTGTCTGTCTCGGTCATTTCGGTGTTTCTGTAATGTTAACCGTTTTTGTCGAAGCGGTCCGGGTTGTGGCGAGGTTTCGTTTGGCTCTAT